ATGATTGCTGCCCCTGATTTTTTTTTTACTTCAGCTGAAGCACAGTAGATTCTGCTGCAGTGTTCCTTGTAAACAATATATCATAGAATTCTGGTTTTTAATCCATTCTGCTATCCGCCTCTGTTTTATGGGTGAGTTCATCCCGTTCACATTCACGGTTATGACCACTGTGTGTTTACCTCCATCCTATTTTTCCCCCTGTTTCTCTCTCTCTGTCTCTCTCTCTGCCCTTTCACCCTGTTCCTCCAGTGTTTTGCTTCTGACCACCACCTTCCCCAATCTGTCCTCTCTTCTATCAGTCCCATGCTCCCTTTTTCATCTTCCTTTCTTCCTACTTCCTTTCAGGGTTTGCCATTTCCTTCTCCAGCTCATTTTACATATGAGGAAACTGAGGCCAACAGGGTGAAGTGACTTGCCCAGGGTCACTCATCTAGTAAGTGTCTGAGACTGGATTTGAACTCATGAAGATGAGTCTTCCTAATTCCAAGCCCAGTGTTCTAACCATTGTGCCACTTAGCTATGCCCCGCCCCCAGGTCAGGAATAATGACCTGAGAAAGAACTAAGTAGGGATCGAGAGATTGGAGGTCGTAGCGTTGAAGAACAGGGTTTGGGGTTGCAAGGCAGAGGGAGAGGTGGAATGACAGCAGATTTTGATCCATCAGATAAAAGCATTTCAGAGTTTGTGACTATGGAAGTGTTGTGTTTGTGAGTGGTGGCAAAATCAAGGCTTATGACCCTCTTTTATAGGGCTAAGGTAAAATGGAGGCGTGGGTACTGTGAAATGAGCAAGTTGAGGAACTGTGAGATTTGAATGTTTTAGGAGGGAATATCAGTATGTGTGTTGAATTCCTCTAGTATGAAAACAGGAGTTGAGTAGGAGAGGACTGTGAGCCAGGCACTGAATTCATTGAGGAAAAGAAGGAAGGAACCCTAGAGGGCTGTAGATAGCAGCTACCAGAATTGTAATTGGTTGGTAGAGATGAATTTAGTGAATCTCTGGGGAGGGAGGCTAAAGTCCTGGGAGAATGGAACGGCATTTCTTATTTAAATTCTCTTATTTGGTGTTCTGTGTATCTGGGTATTTTGTATTTTTGCAAATACCATCTATTTATCAATTTTGTTAGCAGCTAAGAGGTGCCCTGGACCTCTGGACCTGGAATCAGCAGGACCTGAGTTCAAATTCTGCATCAAGTACTTACTAGCTGTGTGGTCCTCATTGTGCCTCAGTTTCCTCTTCTGTAAAATGAGTATAAATATAGGCCCAACTTCCCAGGATTGTTGTGAAGCTCAAATGAGATAATATTTGTAAAATGCTATATAAATGATAGTTGTTATTGTTACATAGTTGAGCAAAATAGTTTCTAATTCTCTTCTTCATTTGTTGTGAATTTTCTTTTTTCATTTTTTAGGTTGACAGTTTGGTTTTCCTCTCTTTTTGGGGAGAATAAGTTAGCTAATGGTTGGTCTTTCTTTTCAATGTTTCAACAGAACCACCAAGTTTACTTATTTGTGTTATGTGTTATACCCCCCCAGGCATCCCTGCTCATCCTCATCTTTAAAGATAACATTCAAACCAAGTTTGCATTAAGGACAAAAGTATAAAATTAACTACCAGAAGTCAAGGAAGAGAAAACAATTCCTGGCTCCAGCCTAGGCCTTGCTCTTTTGCTCTGTCCCCCCCACCCATGCCACTCTTAGTGGCACTTCTCACTGCTGAGATTGGAATGAGGGCTCCTGAAGCCAAAGCAGGAGTTCTTAGAAAGAGGAGACTCAATCAGTTTCTTCAGCCCTTTCAAGTGTCTTCATTTGCCATCTCGTGGCTCCCCAAATGAGTGTGGTAGCCTTGTGTCGGTTCTCAGAAGGAAGAAGAGGATGCCTACACAAGACTTACACTTCCTTATCAAAGGGTACTCCACAGCTGGCTATAGACCCGTACTCCTACAGATCTCCATATAGGAGTCTAGAATGAGATGACGAAATGACAGGTACCCATGTGGGGCTGGTGTGGCAGCTGCAAAAATGGTTTCTCGGCTTTCCGTCTTTCATGTGTGCTAAGCATGCCCCTTCCTTTAGGGAGCATTTTAGAATAGTGATTGGGGAGAATGGAGCACCTGCTTCTAGGTCTACCCTTTGGGACATATAAGCACAGTATCTACTTGGGGGTTAGAGTGTGGCAGGCAAATGTTTCCTGACGTACTCAAGGTAGACTGATGATGAGATGAGACGTCTCGGCCCTGATGGATGGACGCTTTATCTCTAAAGTTTGTGGGTTGAGTGGTGCCCATTGGAACTGGACTTAGGGGTAGAAGCAAAAAGTAAGGGACACTTAATACTTATAGGATAGCTGCCAATTGTCTGGAAAGTACCAGGAGAATGGCGTTCTCTCATATAAGGAATCAGAGGCCTCATAGAGGTGTTGATGGGTAGTCCTCATCCCTTTCCCCCCTGTCTCCCCCCTCCCCCCACTAATTGTGAAATCTTAACTTAGGTTCCTTATGGCAGGGAGAATAAACTTCCAATACACAATGAGCCTGACAAGGCCCTATTTATTAATGTCGTATAAATGTGTGTGCAGATATGTACCATAGCAAATCATTGATTCATTTACACTCCTCTTAGGACAGAACTTGCTACAGAATCCTAAAAAAGCAAAATGATAGCCTTCTATCCATACTAAGGTTGTAGAAACTTCAGAGACTAGATGTTATGGAAAGTATTGCAGCAGTTAAAGGTTTGTTGACTCAGTCACACAGCTCAGATTTCAAAAACATTGGGGCTAAAGAAGATGAAACCCAGTAGGGATAAAAACCTCCCCCCAGAAAGCTGTTACCCAGAACAGTGAAATGTAGTATGGTATGTCTTACACCAGTGCAATGGAGGAGTCATGATTAGATAGCAGTTTTTAAAAAGATCTGAGGATTTTAGTGTATTGCAAGCTCAAAATGAATCAGCAGTGTGATGTGGCAAGCCCCCAAAATCCTAATTTAATCAGAAAAGCAGCCTGGTATAGTGGATAGGGTGCCGCAGGATGTGGAGTCAGGAAGACCTGGATTAAAATCTCGCATTAGGCACTTGCTAGCCCTCTGTGCGTCATTTTCCTCATCTGCAAAATGGGGGCTGAGTGGAGTGGATTCAGTGACCTTGAAGGCCTCCAAAGTTATGGTCTTGGATTTCATTAAATGAGACATAGTTTCCAGGAGTCAGGATTGGTGTGATACTTGCCTGTACTTTGCCTGCATCAGAACTCACCTGGAGTCCTGTGTTCAGTTGTGAACCTCAGTTCAAGAAGAAGGCTGATAAACTGACCCTGGAGGAGGGTCGCCAGGACAGTGGGGGTGACTTGAATCTGTGTCCCATGAAGGTCTGTTGTACAGAGAGGCCACAGGGGAGACAGGATAACCAGGGACAAGTGTTTTCAGAGCTGTCATGATGAGAAATCCTTTTTTGTTTGGCTCTGGAGATCGGATCCATGTTGCAAAGAGCCCAGTTTAGACTGGATGTCAGGAAAAACCTCACGCTTAGAGCTCTCATGAAGTTCAGTGGGCCACCTGGAGAGGTGCTGTTAGGATGTCCCATCTCCTCTAAGCAGTCTTGGAACAGAAGCTAGATGCCCACTTGTTGGGAACTTTGTAGCGGTCCCAGGGTCACTTCCCAGAACACACATACACACACACACACACACACATTTACAAGTGTACACATATGTTTGGGACCAGGCCTGCACCTATAATTTCATTACAAGCTCAGTGTCATCCTAGATTCCTCCCTCGAATTCACTTCCCCATAGATATACTGTGCAATCTGTTAGCATGTCTTGTTTCTACCTTCACAGCGTCTTTCATATACATAGCCACTGCCCTAGTTAAAGCTCTCATTACCTCTTGTCTGGACCATTGCAGTAGCCTTCTAATTACTCTTTGCCTCATGTCTCTCCACCTTGCAGTCAGTTCACCCTCCACTTAGATGCCAAAGTGATTTTCCTAATGTATAGGTAGGTCTCTTCCCCCAGACCCCTAACGCATATTCCATAAACTCTATTGGATCCCCTTTACCTCCAGAATCAAATATAAAGACCTCAAACATTGAAAACCCTTCACAATCTGCCTCTTTCCTGCCTTTGCAGTCTTTTTCCTGCCTTCCACATACTAGACGCATGACACTCCCATCTCCTGTCTCTTTGTTTTTGCACTGCCCTCCCATACCTGAAATGCCTTTTCCCTTCATCCCAGAGCTCAAATCCCACCTCTGCTTGGAGGCCAGTTCTCTGCCCTCTGAAATTATCTTCATTGTATAAATCTTGTATGTGCATTTTTTTTTTTTTGCATATTGTCTCCCCTATTAGCACATGAGCTTCTTGTGAGCAGGGGGCCTGTCTTTTTGTCTTTCTTTGTATATTCAGCTCAAATTCTAATGCCTGGCACATTAATAAATGATTATTGACTGATCGCCTGTATCAGTGGGATCTTAGACCCCTACGGCAAGTGTCTGGACCCCTTCTCAGAATGTCTTTTAAATGTATAAAGTAAAATATATAGGATTGCAAAGGAAGCCAATTATATTGAAATACAATTTTTAAAAAAGAAAGTTCACGGATTCAGATTAAGAATCCCAAGGCTAGAGAGTCCACTCGGGTGCTAAGGGGTTAAACGGCTGGCTCAGGCCCGGGGTAGGTTCAGGGAGCTTGGTGGAGACTGAGGCAGGAGGAGAGGCCTGGGGCAGCCAGCGCAGAGGTGCTGATGCCCAGCCAGAGCGGTGCTGCTGCTGCAGATCCTTCTCCCGCCCGGCGGGTGCCATGGCAACCGCCCTGGCGGCGGCGGCTCGGCGGCAGACACGCATGCGCAGAGGCGCCGGCAGGGGCCGGCTTGGGCAAGCTGGGGAAGCTTTGACGCAGTGCGGAGGTGGGCGGTTTGGCGCCAGGCTGCTCTCGGCTCTGCTCCGCCGTGCTGAGCTCTACTCTACGCGGGAGTAGGGAAGTTACTATTATTTGGTTTTGTCATAGGAAGATTTGGAGAACGGGGAAGAGGTGGCCACCTGTCCCAGCTGCTCCCTCGTAATCAAGGTGATCTATGACCGAGTAAGTGCTTCTCCCTCCTGGGGCCGGGTGGGGGCTGGGGGAAGCCGGGGCAGGGAGGGCAAAAGCCCCTTTTCAGGGAGGTCCCGCCTCCGCAAACTTGGGCTCTTTCCTGGTGCTCGTAGTAAAATCTGCTGCGCTCCGATGGTTGTCGCACTGAGCTTGGGGGACGCGGAGCAGAGAACTTGATCCCCTCCTCTGGGGACCCTGGGCAGAGCCCAGCGAAAGCTCCCTTGTCTCTTAGCCTGGGATCGGGTCTGTTCAGAATCCGTCCATTCTGCTAGGAGAAAAACAGAGTTCTGGGCAGTCCCCTGCCCGGCCGGGCTCTAATGGTTACATACGCATGATTAATGGAAACGCATAGGTGATAAAGGTCATTTGTTTAGGTGTCAGAATAAAATATGAACCAGCCAGAGCTGTTAACAGTTAACAAAAAATTGATTATTTTAATTTTCTTTCCCATTTGTTCAATTTCTGACAAAAAAAAATTTGGTGTGTAATTAATCTTTTTTATCATTAAAAATATTACCAGGAAAGAGGCAGGGGAAAAAAAAAGGTAGGGGCTAGGGTTTGAAGCAAAATGGATAGCTACAAATTGCAGAATCAGAATGTGACGTTTGGATTCCGCCATAGCTAGTCTAACGACAGGCTAGATTGACGTACTGGAATATTGAACTAATGGGGCTTTACTATAAATAAAATTAAATTTAAGCCATTTTTAACCAAACTTCAAGAAATTGGGGGAGAAGTTGCACACATATTCTAATTCTGTAGATATTTTAAATGACTATCCATAATTTACAGCTTTTATTGTAAAAATATGTATAAGAAGTAAGTAAAGGGACCTGTTAAATTCATTTCACCAAGCATTAGTATCTCCTGTGTGCCAAGCAGGGTATTGGTGGTACAAAGACAAAAACGTAAGTCTCTGGGCTCAGGGAGCTTACCTTCTATTGCATCAGGGAGCTTACCTTCTATTGCATGACGTATGCACATATCTAAGGAGTGGTGATTTGGCAATAAAAGATGCAGATGTTTAGTTTTTCCTTTTTTTTTTTTTTTAAATAAAGAGCTTTTAAAATCAAATATGTATTGAAGTCTGGGAACTGGTGACTTCTTAGACGTGGATTTAAATCTTAATGGGTGCTACATTGTGATTAATGAGTAGAAAACATTTTTAAAAACCTACGTTGTTGGTATTGAAAAATGTAACTTTAATATTATTGAACAAAAACTGGTTTTAATACTTATTGGTTAATGCTATTGTCTCTCTTTCTTAGGATCAATTTATGTGTGGGGAAACAGTCTCTGTACCTTCGACCAGCAAAGAGTTAGTTAAATGCTGAAGAAAGCTTTGAAAACCTAATTTATACCAAATAACCAAAGGATGTGCCCAGGTGGATATTAAATGTGAAACTGAGATCTTCTGAATAATAAGAGGGGATTTTTGTTTTTTTTTTGTTTTTGCTTGCTTGCAGTGTATTGCAAAGCTTAGCTTCTTTACATCAATTGCCACATTAATCTTGAAAATTGAAAAGAACTGAATTGAGAGAGGGGACAAACCTAGATTTTTATAATTGAACTTGAGTCTTAATTTCAGTCAAAATTTTTGATTTTCCAGAATTCAAAAGAAGAAGAATTTCAAATCAGAATCATTTATATCATAAAACCTATTAACTTTGATACTTGTTCTTTGCAAAGTATCATCTACCTCCATAATTAGTAGAGCATCACTGATGCTCATTTAATTGGCTTCAACAGCAGAAACCTTGTCAGTAGCTGAATTGTAATAGTTCTAGGTGTGTGCGTTGTCATCTTGTTTTCTGTCATATCCTACCTTCATTAAGTAAAAACAATGGATATGAAGAGGAAAATAAGTGACCTCTATCCTCAGAGGATAAAGGTCTTCTGTGTCTTAGATACTAGAAACAAGACTCAATGCGAAATTGCAAGAGACCTTGGAATTCTCATGTCATGCTTTCTCAAAACCAAGAGGAGCATAAAAAGGCAAGCATTAGGGCTCGATGATAAAAATAAAGTAGTGGCCAAAGGGAAAAAAATGAAAGGCGCAAATCCTGTTGAGTCAGGAAGTGAACCAGTTGATTATTCCAAACCAGAGCCAATGGTGTCTCTCTGTCTGATCATTTTCTAGAGTAAAAGCCAGTGTGATTGCACCAAGGAAGTTGGCTTTGTGTATTTTGGTACCATTACAACATTGTGTCCACTGCATGTAAAAAAGGTGAAGCATTTCCATTAACCATACCCATTGCTGAAGATCATCCTTAAAATGTGAGTGAGGCCCATTCTGGATGACAGCACTAGTAAGGACACATTTGAGGCAGGTGTCATTTATGTGATTGACAACCAAGTCAGATCCTAGTAGCCCTAAATGAGGAAGCTTGCTATGGAGGGGGCAAAAAAAGACATGTGGACAGTCTTTGTTGTTGTGATGATAGTAGTGAGAAATTAGAGCCGTTTGTGGGAAAATTGGAAAATCCACAGCTCATGAAAGGCGTGAATCATCTTCCTTGTGAATACTAAGTTAGCAAACATGCATTGATGACTAAAAAGTTATTTTGGTATTGACTTCTGCAATTAGAAAAAGTGGCTTGCCAAAGTAGATATTTTGTTGCTGTTAGATGTGCTGTGCATACCCATATTTAAATTAAAACATGTGCACGTTCCTTTTCTGCCTGCCAGTCCTACAAGGTATGCAAGGTATACGTGAACTTAGTAGACCAAGGGATGATGAACTAAAAGTTGAGTATCTGAAGCACTTGGTTACACAGAGTGCCAACGAATGTAGCTGTTGTAGAAATGTGGAAATGACGTTGATGCAGTGAGTCGCGCCCTTGCTGCACGGGACACAGTCTCATGCAAAAGCAAAGCCGGCCTTGAACACCAGAGATGGCTTGATCAAAAGGAGCATCCACACTGACCCAGACTAGAATGAGCTGCAGAAATGGATTGTCCAATCAATGTTGATGTTTTTGTAAATGTTGGCTACCTCTGCTGTTACTGTGTCAACGACAGGCACCTCTAATCGGAAATTTGTAGCGAGTATAAAGGAAGAAGAGAAAGAAGCTGCTTGAGCCCAGGAATCCTGCAAGAGAAGAAGCTTGGACAATGTGAGCAGTGACTGAATTTGTGATAAATTAGAGTGCCATGAGTGACTCTCCACAGCATTGGCAGGACTGCTGAGTGTGTTGGAGGGTCTACACCACGGGAAAAAGTCCCAGTTCAGGGTTGTGTTTCTGACGTGTAACCGGTTTCCAGTCACCTAAAAATGAGAAATTCTTGCCCGTTGATTTCTTCTTTGACTCCCTTCTAGTAGCCTTCTTGTTTATTGTGTTTGCGGCTCTTGAGCACGAGCCAAGCTGCTGCCAGCCCAAGTTGTGTTCCCTGGTGCTTCAGTTGGATGGGGGTGGCTCATTGTGGGACCTGGAAAAATTCTGAAGTGAGGAGTGTACAGGTGCGATGTATAGAAGGTGGCTGGAGCCTGACTAGGGCTAGGGACAGGGTGAGGCAAGGCAGTTCTCTGTCTAGATTGGCGTGATGGTATGGTAGCTCCAAAGATGGCTTTGCAGCTTTCCCTTTTTTTGTACAGAAAAATGTTCCATCTCTGGCATGTGTCAGGGATGCTTCCTCCTTTCCATGATTCCCAGGATGGTTATTGGCGGGGAGGAAGATGTTATCTGTTGCCTCTGCTTCTTTCCTGTGGGATCTTTGGGTACTCCAGTTGGTCAAGAGGGATGAGAATCATGGGATTGGAATGGCCTCACCCTAACAGAGGGGATGTGGTGGGTCTTGCCCATTCTAGATGCTATGGGGTCATTTAGGCTGAGGTGGACATTTCCTGCCAAGTTATAGTTGGAGAGACCTTTCTGACTGGTTTTAGAGGTGAAAACAAAAAGTGAGAAGCATTAACAAGGTACATACAGAATAGTAGACAATATGGGCTTGTGTCTTTCCCTGGGAGACCTGTCCCTGAATTGCCTGGCAGTTACTAGAAGGACAACTTTGGGCAATTAGGATCAAAGGCCCTCTGATGGACATACTTTTAGCTTTTTCCCTCAGGTTTACACAATGGAAATCTGTGCTATTATATATTCTGTAGGGGAGGGGAAAAGCAGTTCTTAGTACACAAAGACCCTAATGAGGGGGGTTGGGGGGTAAGGCCTAAATTATGAATTTATAAATATGTATATGCATATGTACTCTATAGCAGGCAATATCAATTCATCTACATTCCCCAGAGGAAGGGTGGCACTTGGCAGTTACAAAATTCTTAAACATCTTTAGAGATATTAGAAGAAAGGTCATTAAAAACCACAAAAATACTATGAAATGAATCACAGCAGTCATGGTTTAATGGGCCCTACGACACAGGCCCAAGACCCTGGTGGGCGTAGCAGAGGCTGCAGAGGAGGAAATGGCATTCCGAGTCTGAATTATGGAGAGCCCCATTGTTGTCATTTCTGAGTGGCTGTTGGGTTTGACCTTGGTTTGAGAACAGTACAGTCAGAGTTCAGTGACAGGAACTTTGGAGTTAATTTCACAGGCACTGTAATAACAATAATAACTCACATTGTGTAACACTTGATAGTTTGCAAAGGATTTTCCTCACAACATTTTCTTATTAGTGTCACTGATGTGTTTTATTCTTCTGTACCTGTGTCAATATGAGCATCTTTGTAAAACTAAATGTAAGTAGATTTAGAAATTTTGAATCTCTGAAACAAGTTCAGAGTACTCTGCTCTTTCTAACCTTTTTTAGCCTAATGAGTGGGGAACTTCAGGTCTTGGGACTGATATTTCTACAGAGGGATTTGGGGAAGTGGTGCGTGTGGCACGGTACACCATCCAACTGAGAGACCTGGATTTGAGTTCGAGCTTCGTTACTACTTAGCCCTGTGACATTTGGGTAACTCTTAGAACCCATCTAAGCTTCAGATTCCTCTTCTATAAAATGAGTGGGTTAGTTTAGATGAGTTCTCAACTCCCATCCAGCTCATAATAATCCACGATTCTGTGACTCCAGACTTAGGATGCATGACATTCATTTGCTGCCCAGAACCAAATTGAACTCAAATATCTGTGTTCTCTTTCATGGCAAATTAAGCTTATTTTTTGAAAGTGGTTCAGTTTGAGAAATTAAATTTTTAAAAATTCCTTAAGTAATTTCAGTTAACATGATTGTGTTTAATTGAAAGTACTAGATCAACATGAGGATACCAGTCCCAGTGCCCATAGAGTTATCATCGGTGTGAGACTGAGGAGCATATTCTGTAAGGAGATTTACTCATTAGTCTAATTTCTTTGATTACCATATAAACTCATGGGTTTTTGTTGTCCTTCATGCCCCTGCTCAGAAGAGTAGTCTTCACTACTCTTCAGGAAATACTGCTTTTGCAACTGAACTTAGTGTTCTATGTTGTTTGTTTTTTTTTTTAATTAGATTGGATTGGTAGTCTCAATAATAATAACTGGCATTTATGTAGCATTTAAGGGTATGGCATAGTGGACAAAAAGCTGGCTTTGTAGATGGGCAATCTGGGTTCAAGTCTCTGACACAGGTTGTATGGCTCTGGGCAGTGCCCAAGCTAACTTTAATTTGTAAAATAGTGGCAAATCTCTATTGGGAGAGAGTTTGGACTTGAGTTCTGTTTGTGCTACTTGAATTTGAGTCATGGATGTTCAAATGGAATCTAATTGAGTGTCAGAATGTTCTTTTGAATGGAATGGAAGTGCTTAATGTATCTTATGTATCATTTTTCTTTTTAGAGTTGAACCTTTTCATCAACACTCAAGATATTCAGCTCAAATATTAAGTGTCATGTATTGTAAGACCCACCAATGACTGTCTCCCTTTAATAGCTTCCATTAGGCCATTGATCTGTCCGGTCCCTAGTATATATAGTTACATGGTGCCAGTGCTTTGCTCACTATGACTTAACCTGTAAAGCAGTTGTTATCTCTGTCTCAACTCCAATATTATACCAAGACCGTATTGTGCAATAAAAGTATGTATGTCTAAATGCAAAACAGCTTGATTGTTTTCATTGACTTTAAAACCAAACTTTATGGATGCCTTTTTAGAACATGCCTTTTCCTGCCCCTTTATTGAACCATCTCTTACAAAAAGGAAAAAGAGTGAAGCAAAAATAAGCAACACGAGGACCTTGTTGGACAAAGCAGACAGCCTCCTTTCTATCTGGGGAAATCATCTGCTACTGAGAGGAAGATAGAAAACTGTCTGTTTGCAAGGGGCATTATAATTACTGGGGACTCTTTCCAGTTCCATTGTTTTAAATATATCTGTGATTCTGCTCCTACTTATCTTATCATGTCATTTGTAATCTTCCAGTGTTTCTCTGAATTCTGCATATTCATTTCTTGCCATGTAATATTTCTTTATAGTTTATCACAACCATTCTTCAATTAATGGGCACCAATTTCACTGTTTTTGTTTTTGTTTCTTTTTTCAGGAGTGTTTTAAGTCAAATGAAAGGTCCTGTTTTCAGGTCCCGGCACTGCAGTGTGATGTGGGTCCTTGTTTCTTAATCTCTCTGGGCTTAAAGATAAGATTTCCTTATTTTTAAAATGAGGGGATAGAACTAAATGGCCTCTCAGGTCCCTTCCAGCCCTGAAATGCTTATTTCATCCAACGAGTTGTTCTAGTGATAGTATAGGATGGAAATCGCCTATAGTGATTTTGCTTTGATTATAGAGCCTTTTGTTTTCCCCACAGGGCAAACCCATCCAAGATGTGAGACAGGAATTTACACTTACTGCTGCCTGTCCCAAATTAAGGAGAAAATTGAGTCCTGTGTTTTTAATTGTATTGGTATACGTGTGCTCCCTCACCTGAATTATCAAAGAACATGCACATGAAGAAGAACTCCAACCTGGGCCTGATTTGGGGTGTGGTCCCTGGTTTAAGTGGGTAGTTGATCCAGGCTGCCAGTTTTATAGCTCACATTAAATGACAGCATCTGCAGGTGTGAGTAATTAGAGGGTTTTTTGTTTTTGTTTTTTTGTAACTGAAAATTCATCACTATTTCACACGAAGTAAATTGCTCATAATTACATATTGGACTAGGAAATAATTTTGAAAATCATTTCTTGGTAAAAATATATAAAAAGGGACTTTTAAGAGAAAATTGATTTAAAATACTCTCAATCCATGCAAAATATTTTAAGTCTCCATTTTGCTTGCAAAATTTAAATCAGTATTTGTTGAGCATTGGAGCATAGCACAGTTGTTACCATAGGGAGCACTGGAGAAATTCTTAGCAGAACAGCAGCACAAAAGTAAATTCTAGGAAAGCACATCAATTTTGTCCAGAGACTGCAGAGTTTGGAACTGCTGGTCAAGGCAGTCAGAATTTTGAAATCAGGTTGAACTTCTTGAATTATTATAAATCCAGTTTAGTAGATTACAAAGTTTTAGGGCTTGCGTCAGTGAATGTGATGTCATCTAAAAGCAGGAACACCTGGAAGACTTCATCTATCAGAAACCCCTTTATCATTTGGACTGGGTGCTGGATATCCTCTGGGAAGGCCATGAACACCCTTGGTGACCCTGTGACCCCTTGCTCTTTGCCTTGATGATGTCAGTGATCAGAGCACAGGCTAAGCAAATATAAAATGGAAAAACAGGATGCAGCCCAGGGATGACCAACATTTAGTACGCTGTAGAGGGTCTGCTCTAAAGCTGGAAGGGTCTTAAGACAACCCACAAATGCACCAATGTAGGCCAGAAAGAAAATACCATAAAATAAGGAATGTGCCAGTCTTAAGTAAACCAGATAAGAATGTACACCAGGGTTGGAGGAATCCCTTTGGCACCTTCATAGTTATGCCTTATGGATTTACCAGTCACTCTAGCTATTTCAGTGGATGTATTTCCCTCAGCTCCCATACTGGGGAGAAGGGCCTAGCAGATCAACTTAAATAACTTTGTAAGCATTTTTAATTCAAATATACATTTCATGTGTTTGTTCCCTAGGTAGACTATGAATAGTCTTTTCTGGGGCCAGAACATGGCTTCTCTTCTCTTATGACATTTCACTCCCTTCACACAGCAAGCCCTCCATAAATGTTGACAGACTGCCGGGAACCCCATAGCGTCACTCCCCACAAATTTAGGAATAGAAACAATACTGAATCCAGTAACAACTGCAGGGGAATTACCAGGGGGGTGGACAGATGGTTAATGACTAGTTTGGAGTGTTAACAATTACCAAATTTAGATTGTCAAGCCTTCTTTATAGAAAACAAATCAGATTCATGCTTGTGTGGGCAAATAACTACCACAAAGAAACCACACGCCGTGTGGGGAAACTGCAATCAGTACTCAGACGGCTCAGGCCAAGAGCACCAGACTTTCTACACACCCGCTGTTGGGTGTGGACCACAACTCCTCCCCCTCAGCCTTCTGAGCTACAATCCTCACTTCACCATACTTTGTGTTGTGTGTACCTGTGTCTGTGTCATATCCCTGCCAGCAAAATGAAGTCGCCTGGAGTCAAGGACTGCATGTATGAGATCTTCGTTGTCTCACGTAGTGCACATCCTTTCTGCGTCTCTCCCCATCCCCGACCTTTTACCTATTTGGCCTTGTTATTGAAGCATATCAGTCCTGACACCGGATGAGGGGGTGGGGGAGGTGTCTTCCAAGTTGCCAATAAGCAGACAGCCTCTCCATAACGCTGAGCAGTCTTCTGTATTGTGTGAGAATTTTTTATCTTGGAGGTGCATTGAATTAGCCAGTGTTATGTAGACTGTTTGCACTGTTCAGGACAGCCTTGTAATTCCATATCACCACTCACCTCACTCCCTAAAAATCTTCAATGGCTGCCTATTACCTCCAGGATAAAATCCAGACTGGCAGTCAAGCGCCTCCTGAATTTATCTCCAACCAACCTTTCTGGTCTGATTTCATATTCTTCTCCTTCACATATTCTTATGTTTCAAACAAACTAGAATGCTGTCATTTACCTCTGTGCTTTTCCAGAGGCCCTTATGCAGGCTTACATTCTACTTAAAGTGGTTCAAGAGTCTGGCCATTCTTGGTTAGAGATACAACCAAGAGAACACAGACACATCTCATTAGATGGACGTGGATACTTGAGAAAGAAAGCATCTCGCATCAGTCTGTTCACTCTTGGACTTCTTCCCTCATTGTGTTTGCTGAGAGACCAGCTGTAAGGGGAGAGACTTGAGGGCCTTCTCCCCTGTGAGGTCACGTGGCCCAGAGTAACAGGCCTCACTCTTTGGCCTCTGCATTTGTTCCGTCCTGTTATAGGTGAAGGGAATGGAGCCACCGACCTTGTGAGTTTCGAAAAGTCAGGAGGACACCCTGGCATCCTGGTTTGCCACCAGTACAGCATTGATGTCCTAAGTAGTAAAGAATGACCAAGACCCATGCTGTATCCAGATGTAAACTTAGTGGGACCCCGTGTTATGTAAGAATTGTGCTAAGTTTTGAGCCTGCTCTCCCCCAGTGATCACTGTGGTAAAGGGGAAAGTAGAGAGGTATTGGGGGCAGATACTTGTATTTTTTTTTCCTTGATATATCTTTGAAGTAAATAACCTCATAAAAGTTAGAAAAAAGAAGGAAAAAAGAAAAAGCAGGTTTGAGAAACTAGTCGTCTTAGTGAAGTAGATGCTGAGGTCATCTGCCCAGAGGAAAGAGACATAGGGGGCTCAAGCTGGGCATTTAAGGAAAGAAGAGGTTTATAACAATTTCTGCAGAAAGTATGATAGGTAGAGGTGGAAGGAATTGAATAGAAGAACTTCTCCATCCCATGGTACTGAGGGCCCAGTTGAAGTTAGCCATCATGAACATGTGGCATGAAGGTGACTTTTTCAATGGCACCTCAAAAGTGGAGCCCTCTCGGGACTGGAACAAGAGCAGAGGACCAAGGTTGATGGCAGTGAAAGGAGGGTTCTGTTACTGGGCAAAGAGCAAAAAATTAATCCCTCTGGAGTGTCGGGCTTGGAAAAGGAGTAAGAAGATACCGGCAGACTTTCCAAGAACATCCAGGCTTGCTGCGTTAGCATCGTTGCGGTGGCAGGGCAAGCACGACCCCAGCCGTTGCCTCGGATGCTTTGTTGTGCCGCTCGTTTGTGATCACTGGGTCCCCAGCTCCTGGCTGTCGCTCCCTTCTTCTCTCCTTGTCTGTCTCTCCTCTCCTAATCTTCTTGCACGCTTCCTGGCCTGATCTCTCATCATCAACATCATCATCCTTCTGTTACATGCCCTCAGTACTTGTGCTTCATGTTGATACTAAAATTTTGCATAAAACTAGCTAATTGTATGAAAATAAAAGCTGGTCTAAATTAACCACTTTTTTTTTTTTTTTTTTGTGCTTTTTGGTGAGGCAATTAGGGTTAAGTGACTTGCCCAGAGTCACACAGCTAGTTAAATGTCAAGTGTCTGAGGTCAGATTTGAACTCAGGTCCTCCTGACTCCAAGGCTGGAGCTCTATGCACTGCACCACCTAGCAGCCCCTAAATAAACCGTGTTTTTAAAAGGACTACTTAAACATGTAACTTGGACATTTGCAGAGATATGGTGATTGAAATTTGCCTAACTCCCTTTTCTAAGTTTGGATACTGACTACTGGATTTTTTCAAGGCCTTCTGAGTGACAGAGGGAGCTCAGCAAAGAAAAGACTGACTTACTAAAACTGAGAAGAGCCCAGGTCAATGTGGACAATGACAATGAACCAAGAAAACCCTCTAGAATAGATCAGAAGTTTTAATTTTATATATTTATTTATTTTGAGTGAGGCATTCAGGGTTGTGACTTGCCTGGGGTCATACAGCTAGTAAGTGTCAAGTGTCTGAGGCTGGATTTGAACTCAGGTCCTCCTGTCTTTAGGGGCAGTGCTCTATCTACCACAATACCTAGCTACCCCTAGTTTGATTTTTTTTAAGGTGCTATAAGCAACCATCATGTTCCAAACTGAAGACCATTTTTGTTTAAAAATAATGTCAAGGAGTTAGCTAAAGAGTGGACCAAGAAGCACTCCATTCTTTTCTACCAGATAAACCACTGATATCCTCTTCTTAATTACAATTAACCACAAAAGATACAATTGAAATAAACTTTTATTTCATTATATTAATTTAACCCAGTAATTTGTGGTCCAAACACATAAAATACCAATAGTAAAATTCATGTAAAAATTAGAAATCTTTTTTTTTTCTTTCTTTACTCTTTACCTTTGACTATCCTCTACATTGTAGTTGTGACAGAATTTTCCGTGCTATCTTTCAAAACTCAAGTTTTGGAAATGTTGCTGAGAATTTCAGGATTCCCTTTAGACCAAGATGAATCTAAAGCCTGGAAAAGGCATTTTTGTTGTGCAATGATTTTTCCTTAGAAGATAAAAGTAAGGCCATCTGGAACATAATACAAGGAAGAAGAAATGGACTGAATATTTACCATGTATCGGAAAAGTAATGTGCCCACGTGACAGAAGCTGAGAGTAGTGCATCCCTTCAAGCGTATAAAATCTGTTTGGTTTTACTCATTTGAAATACATTAAATTCATTCACTTCTTGCAGAAGATGGACATCTTTGCAGGGAAATTTCCAAACTCAGATATTCATGCTGTGGGAATGGGGGTGGTGCTCCATTTTAGGGAGAGATGAATCATTTCATTCAAGTTAAGCATAATGGTTTTGAAGAAGCAGGATAATCTAGCAATGTATTTAAGCAAAACTTGTGCAGTGTCATGTGGAAGAGAAATTTCCCAATGAAGTCAAGTCAACAAGCATTTATAAGGTGCCTTCTATTTACCAGCCACTTTCTAGTCCAGTGGTTCCCAAGACCCCATGCTCAATATGGCCACCCTCCTGCCCATATCGAGGGCATCTACCTGCTCCTTCGTTTGAGAGCTTCTACCAGTCCTCTCCAACCCAAATCCTCAAGAATCCCTTTCTTGTTGAGAATGAATCATTGCTTGACCATCAGCAGCTTTCCTCTACATACATATTCATCGTACCCAAAAGAATAGGGGTTAGAACTTTGTAGCCAATGATACTTTTTGGGGGGGAGTGGAGATTCAGACATGATTTTATTGAAATAGGAAACTCCTGATGAGAAGACTCCCTCTACAAATGCAGACCAGCACCCATTCAGACACTTGTAAGTATAGAAGTGTCTCTTGGATGCACTGACAGGTTAAATAACTTGTCCAGAGTCACATGGCTAATACATGCTAGCTGCCTTTGAGGCCAGCCTTTTATCTACTACATGTGGCTGCCGGTATCCAGGTATACACACGTAGACGTGCCATGATGTGTGTGTCTATGTACTAGTCTTGGAGAGAGAGTTGTATGGGGCCCTGAGGGGTTAAGTGACGTGTGTATGTGTCGGAAGCAGGATTTGAACCCTGATCTTGGCTGTCCTGTGACTATACATATATATGTATATATGTATGTATATATAAATACACACACATACACACATGCATGTGTGCATATATAGAAGATTCATTACTCTTGATAATCTGCAGAGCTGTATGTATAACAGTATTAGAAACAGTGTTGTTTCACGGTTTGCCTTGGCTGCCCACCCCTGCTTTTTCCCTTCAGTCAGAAGGGTTAAAAGTGGAATAACAAATGACATTTGGTTCATTCACATGGGCCAGGGCAGGGCAGAGAGATGGAAACCTAGGCACAGGGGAAGAGAGAGGAGACAGACAGCCCGAAGGGGCCGCAGAGATTGGTAGAGACGACATTGGACCAGGAGTCAAAGATGTTGGTTTTCTGCCACCCACTCACCATGGGACTTTGATTAGTAGTCCCTGCCCGTACAGAGAGGATACCAGTATCTTTGCTGCCTGCTTCACAAGGTGTAGTGAGCATGCTGGGAGACGGTGAATGGGAAAGCGCTAGAAATGTACCAGTTATCATCATTTTTATGAAAGGAGGGTTCGCCGGTTTGAAACAACATCGTCCTAGATCCATCTCATGATTCCCTGGAGGTTTGATTACTCAGCTAAGCCAGATACTCACTTTGAAGCTTTGCTGACTCCTGCCTACCCCCTCTCACGCCCATTCCACAGCTGCTCTTGCCTCTCAACACGAACCTTTGATTGTTTCTTCCCAAGGACTTGGGCAGCGTATCCTAAGTTCGCAATCTTCGAGCTAGGAGGGACCGCAGCAGTCTCTAAGTTCAGCCCCCTCATTTTCTGATAATCTGAGGCCAAAAGAGGTAAAGGGAGATTTACTCAGGGTCACACAGGTAGCCATATTTGGCCGGAAAGGGGATTCACTGTACGAAACATGTTTTCTCTTTCACTTCGTTTCAAGATTGTTGTTGTTTGTCCTTCATTCTCAGAGGACCGTCACCTCAGAAAGATGATGTTATGAATTGCAGGTGAATTGGACTTAAGCGAGGCAGGGCTAGGCAGAGTCACCAGCCTCACTGTCTCCTCTGGAGCCATCTGGGTCCAGTGGCAAAATCTAGATCAGGATGCCTGGAGATGACCCCGGATGCCGTGGGAGACCTGGGCCTTTTTAAGCTAAAGTCGACATAGACACAGCCAGAGATGTTCAGGTTCCTTTCTTGTGTCAGAGGTGAGGAATGTGGTTTTAAGGCAGGACAGTCTTTTCATCCTGATAGCTGAAGTACCCGTCCATACATTCATTTTCTCACAGTAGTGAGGAGCATTGATCCTCTTATGCAGCTAAACTGACGTCAGATTAACAACTAGAGATTTTGGACGTTTCCCGGACATCTCATAGCTATATAGGATTGGAGACTTAGGGCTGGAGGGAACCTCGGATGTTGTATTCTCCAGCTCTCTCATTTTACAGATGAGGAGACTGAGGCCTGAAGAAGGAAGTACTGTGGTCAGCATCACACGGGCAGGAAATGATGGAGCTGGGATGTAAACCTAGGTCTTGTGACCCTGAGCTCTTCACTGCATCTTGCTGTGGCTTGCTCCAAGCTACCAAAGAACTCGAGTGTTGGGCTGTTTCGAGGCCCTTGGAGCCTTGCACGAGGGCAAGCTTCTGTATGGTGTTTCTGGCATTCATCGTTGATCCACAGCATGCATGCGGTCAAACCTCCATACCTGGTTGGCTTTCCCGTTGCACAATTGCAAGGACAAGTTTTTCTCACGGTCACTCTCCACAGCTTCTATGCATTTCCCAGAAAGGATGTGGACAATCTTTCCATTCTAGAAAAAAGAAAGTATTCCCACCTCATTTACCCATTCAATAAGCATGTATTAAGATCTGCTATGTGCTAGGCACCAGGAATCCAAAGATTAATACTTAAGCCGTCTCCTGAAATGCCGTTATCAATTATCTATTAACACTTATTATCTATTCAGTCAGTCAGTAAGCATGAAGTACATACCAGGTGCCAGGCACTGTTAAACACCCGGGAAACAAAGAGGTTCGACTGAGGGGGAACCCTGTATGCAGATAAGTAAATATAAAAATTTGTAAAGCACATATCTTGTGACCAGGCTTTTTCCTCTCAGGATTTTTTTTTTTAAAACCATCCAGTGTGATTTCGTTTTTCACATTATCATCATCGTTTCAGAGCTGGACCTTAGAGGTCATTGTGTTCAACTTCCTCACTTTACAGATGAGGAAACTGAGGCAGGCAGAGGTTAACTGACTTGCTTAGGGTCACATACTTATTAAGTATCTGAAGCAGGATTTGAACCCAAGAATTCTGATTCCAAGTCCAGGACTCTACCCACTGTGCTATATTGCCTCATGATCAAAGGGGAAAAAAAGGATATTTCCGACAATTATGCCAACCTTGAACAAAATAATCAATACAATAAACTCCGATTTGGCCTGGTCAGTGTTGTGGTTATTAATAGAAGATTTTGGTCCCACAAACAAGACACTCCATCTCCAGACTAGGTATTTGCTCTGGAACACTCTCTCTCATCAACTCTGCCTACTGGCTACCCTGGGGGTCTCCGTATACTCTTCGGGAACCTAGGGTCTTCCACTTTTGTAGAGGACTAAAATGTTGCTAAACTTAATTGAATCTTACTCTGATGACTCAGAAAGCTCTTCAGGATTAGAGAGGGCCCCTTAGGGATATTGTCATGATTGCACAGTACTGGTTAGTGGAGATTTCCAGTTAATTAGAGATTCAGACAAGACCTTTGCTCTTACCACAGCCAAAATACTCTTTCTACTCATTGTGACATTTACTTCATTCATTTCATTTAGCTGATTCAGCCTCCAAAAGAGGTTTATTCATTTCTTGGAAAACTGAATCAACAGTACTTTGTTTGCCTAAAATTCCTGTAATAAATTGAGGCAGACCCACCCACCAGATTCCTACTTGAATTTTCCACTTATTAAAAAAAAAATCAGAAACTTAATTCCTTATTAAACCTTTTGATTTCCCTCCTTGTCTCTGCCTTGTGGCTTTCCTGGCTTCCTTCCAGTCCCAGCTAAAATCTGACTTTTTACAGGAAGTCTTTCCCTGTCCATCCCCATCACCTTCCCCCAAGGCTAATGCTTTTTCTTGGGAACTACCTTCAGTTTACCCTGTATGTGTCTTGTATGTCCATAGTTGTTTATAATTGTCCCCATTATAGAATTTGGCCACTTTGCAGTCAGGGAATGTTTTTTGCCTGGCACATAGTAAGTGCTTGATGAATACCTGCTGATATGTTGGTATTAAATCATGGGAGGACATTGCTGGCATTCTTAATGGATGGGGGAGGAACTGGAGGAAGGGAGAGAATTTGGAACTCACATTTTTTTTAATGTTAAAAATAAATAATAAATTTATTTTTTAGAAAATGGAAAAGAAATCAGGGAAGAAAAATAGAGCGCACCACCAGTAATAATGGACTGGTCGCTATTGTGTAGCTTTGTAGAAGTTCTGATTGCTTTCAGGGAGTGACTCAGACAATAATAATAACCAGCATTTATATAGCACCTACTGTGTACTGGGCTGGGCTGGGCTGAGCATTTTACAGATATTACCTTATTTGATCCTCACAACACCCTTAGGGAGTGAGTGCTATTATTATCTCCATTTTATAGTTGAGGAAACTGAGACAAATAGAGGTTAAGTGATTTGATGAGGGTCTTTCAGGGGGAAGGTGGCAGAGGCCATGATTCTAACCCTGGTCCTAAGATCCCGAACTCTGTGTTCATTCAGACATAGCACCCTGCCTCTTGATTTAAGGTAACCTAGCGTTTGGGAAGGGCATTATGGCCAGAAGGGTAGTTTTTCATGTATTATAAGAAAACATTTCGGAAATAGTGCCTGCAATTTGTCTGTGTCTTGGCCAAACTAAACCGTAGGTGAAATTTGTCCTGGAGGCACTATCCCCTTTGCTCCCCCTGGTAGCTGTAGTCCAGAGCTGTTATAACCTGTCTAAGCCCTGTCATCCTTCAGCCCTCTCCCTAGTGAGGAATGATCTCAAGGAGAGAACTGGAATGCAGTGTAAATGACTGATAACAGCAGAAAGTGTTCCATTTTCATGAGTATTTGTATTTGATTAATGATCATAGCCTTACATTAAAAGAATGAAGCTCTGGAATTTTAGATGAGAAGGAGCAGGTAAGGTATCTGGGAGATGGAGAGCTGTATTGAGGATCAGTGGGAAGGCTGACCTGTAGAGTATCAGAGGAGGTGACGTGCCCAATGAGGCCAGAAAGGGAGGTTGGGGCCAGGTTGTGAAGGACTTTCAAAGCTCAACGGAGGAGCTTGCATTTGATGCTGGGGGCCTTAGCAAGCCCCTGGATTTTATAGACTAGGGAGTGACGTGGCCAGATGGGCAGTGTGGAGGCTGGACTGGGAGGGGGAAAGCAGAATGACCAGTTAGGAAGCTGTAGCAGTGAAGGGGGCTGAACCAAGGTGGCAACTAGGTGAGTGCAGAGGTGAGAGATGGGTAGCGGGAGAAACAGCAACAGTGAGCAGCTGATTGGATATGTGGCATGAGGAAGAGTGGACAGTTGTCCAGTCAAAAGCATTCAAGTAGCCCCTGTGCTAAGCGCTCAGGTACAAAGAAAGGCACAAAACATCCCTGTCTTCAAAGAGCTTCCATTCTAATTGGGAGTGGGTGCTGTTACTGCCCCCATTTTACAGTTGAACAAACTGAGACAAGCAGAAGTTAAGTGACTCACATAACTAGAAAGTGTTTGAAGCTGGATTTGAACTCTAGTCTTCCTGACTACAAGCCTAGCACTCAATCCACAGCACCACCTAGCTGAGCCCAGGACAGAGCCATAGGGGACACCCACAGTTAGGTGAGACATGGATGAAGAACCAGCAAAGGGGACCACTGAGGAATGGTCAGACATATAAGAAGGGAGCACGGTCACTAAAACTGAAGAACATAGATTATCCATGAGGAGAAGGTGATTGATGGTGTCTCAGAGAGGTCCGGAAGGTTGAGGACTGGAGTAAGATAATCAGATTTGACAAGAGATCACTGGTAGCATTGGAGAGAGTCGGCATCGGTTACCGCATTGTTGAATGTTGAGGGCAGAAACCAGGCTGCAGAGATGTCTTGATCATTTGGGGGGGAAGATATCCTTACCTGCGTCCCTCATTGGATTTCACTCCCCTCAACCACTCAATCTCAGGATCAGAGCTTTCTTAAGTATCCTGAGATTCTAACGTGCTAGTGCCTTTCTTCAACAAAGTTAGGGTTGGGGGCAGCTAGGTGGCGCAGTGGATAGAACACTGGCCCTGAAGTCAGGAGGACCTGAGTTCAAATCGGGCCTCAGAGCAAACACTTGACACTTACTAGCTGTGTGACCCTGGGCGAGTCACTTAACCCCCATTGCCTAAAAAACAAAAAAACAAAAAAAATAAAGTTAAGGTTATTTGGATTTACTAAGAACATTTTTTGACTGTGGGTAACTTAACCTGGTGAACAAAAAGAAGAGAACTAAGCAACAGAGAAGAGATTCTATGTCCGGTTGACTCCATACCTCCTGGACATCCCAGTGCTGCTTCTGGAAGGAGTGAGTTTCTTCTGTGCAGTTCTGAAGAATCACCTGTCCTTCTTGGTTCACATCAAAGCAGAGTGTGGGGTTCTTTCCACAGCTGATTTGCTTCTTGCTGCCATACTCCAGGTGCTGCAAGGTAGAGCACTTTTGTTAACTGGGCTGCCAAGATGGAGGCGTTCAGTAGTTTTGCTGCACTGGTTTTTTTCCTCTTTTTTTTATCCTTTCTTTTAAGAAATGGCTTGCTGGGTTAGGGAGCTAAGTGGTACAGGGGGTAGAATGCCGGGCCTGTAGTCAGGAAGACCTGAGTTCAAATCCAGCATCAGACACTTACTAGCTGTGTGACCCTGGGCAAGTCACTTAACCCTGTTTGCCTCGGTTTCCTTTTCTGTATGTGAGCTGAAGAAGGAAATAGCAAACCACTCCAGTATCTTTGCCAAGAAAATGCCAAATGGGGTCACGAAGAGTTGGACAGGACTGAAAAACAACTGAACACCTGCTGGGTTGGGGAAAAGGGAGGGAAATTTTCAGGAATGAAAGTGATGTCATTGACTACAATTTCCTCATTTTGCAAATAAGGAAACAGGCCCAGAAGAAGGAAGTAGGTTGCCAGAGGCACACACAACTTAGTTGGAGCACAGCCGTGATTCAGATGCTACTGGTTGTGTGGCCATTCAATCTTTCTCAGCCTCAGTTTCCTCACCTGTAAAATGGGGATAGTAGTGACCTCCTAGGGAGGTTCTGAGAGTGTGCTGTGATAAGCTTCTGAAAATGAGTTCAAGAACTCTGAAATATTATCTAGACGTCAGGTTTTATGATCTCATCACCTCTCTTTGTTGGCTTGCCCTTTGATTAGGAGGTAGCGCAGTGGTCTGAGATTAAGTGAATAAAGCCTGGGTTAAGAGTCAGGAGACCTGGGTACAAGTGATAGGCTCATGGATTTAGAACTGAGAGGGACTTTGGAGCCCATCTGGAACCTCCTTGCCTTACAGGGGCCCAAAGACGTTCAATAACTCACTCGAGTTCACAGTCGGTGGCAAATGACGGGTGGGCTTTGAACCAACCAGGTCCTCTGCCTCCAAGCCACAGGTTCATTTCCCCTCTGCCTACTGTGAGTCTGCCATTTAATGGGTGTGTGTTTTGGGGCAAGTTACTCCACTCCTTAATTCAGTCTTAATTTACTTATCTGTAAAATGGGGATAATCACGCATTCCTGACTTCTGTGAGTGGGATGGGCTGGGAGGGTTAAACAAGACAGTGTTTGTAAAGGGGCTTCGTAGCTCGCAGACGTTCAATTCACATGAAAGATGTCATTGTTACTATTGGTGCTGGCGCTCTGATGTGGGAAGAAGGTGTAGCCGTGGGGCACTGCTGAGCAGGACAAGTCACGTGGGGCGTTACTGTGCAGGGGGCCAGATATTCAGTATGTGTTGCAGCATAAGGACTCTGAATGTGTGTATAGGTGGGAGTGAGGACACGTCCAAAGAGAGAGAGCCCATGCGCTGTAGTGAGGGAGAAAATGAGCCCCGTAGTCAGCGGACCTCAGCTGGAATCCCTGCTCTGCTACCTCCTATGGGACCGGGGGCACATTCTGGCCCCTCTCTGAGCCTTTGTCTCCTCATCTGCACAATCTCTAGGGTCCTGCGGTAAATGATGGGGCACCGAAGACAAGGTTCAGCTGCTTGACCATTGGCCTTGGGTCAGCTTCTGTGACCTCCCCCTCACCTGTTGCTGCCAGCTGTCACTGCAGGGAGAGAGTATCACCAGGCTTCCTAGAAGTGCCCCTCCAAGTATACAGTCTGCACAGGAGCCAACTCCAGAATTGTAGAGCTGAAAACAGTCATCAACAAGGAAATGATAAGCAAGCCAGTAATGACCCAGAAATTCTCTTTTATGTACTGGCCTCTCTTATTCTTCTGTGTAATCTCTGGGGTACAAAATCCAGTTCACAGACACACAGCAGGATCAAGCCAAAGACCTAGGGTCCAGGAGCTGAGAGAAGTGATTGCATGGGCTCTCCCCATCATAGATGGGCCTCATCTGGATGATTAAAGTGAACACCAAGCAGCTGAATCTAAAGGGGGAGGTTCTTTGTTGGCCACCCAGAGGCCATATCTATGGCAAGGCTTTCTAAAAGCTCCTATATGCATATGACATTGCTCTAACTGCCCCAAAATGCTGCAAAGTAAAAACTTTACAGTGGAACCCCTTAGTAAAACAAAAGAGATTGATCTAGCCATCCACATCCCAAAAGAAAGTGGATGAAAAATGCACGCTGCTCAGATTATGATGTGTAGCCGAATAGGCAATCCATAAATTTAGTCTGCTTATCTCTCTGGATGTCCATCTAATGTTGGACAGTCATCACAGGTAAGAAAGGAGCTGAGCCCACAGTTAAGGGAGAAGAGAAAGACACAGTGATTGTGTTGGGCTGCATTTGGGAAATTGCACAGGCTTTTAAACATTCTAGGTTGCTCACTCATTGGGTCAAAATCCTGCCTCTTAACGTGCATATTCTCCTGGTGACTCAAATGGTCTCAAATCAATTAAAAAGAGTATTTATTAGGCATCTGCTGTTTGCCAGGTACTGGGAATCCAAAGGCAAAAATTAAACATACAAATCATGGAACACCAGTATATCAAAAGAATCCAATTATAAGTAACCAAAAACGATAGAAAAAAGCAGGATAAGTGTAAATTGGCCACAGCACATTACGCATATGTACTGGCATGCTAGCAATTATGTAAAAGACACTGTGAAGTCTGTGGATGGCCAGAGAGAGGCACCTTTCAGTCAGTGGGTATGAGAGGTGACTGATGTTCGTGCTGGTAGTTACCGTAGTACTTCTGAGGTACCAAAAGCATAACAAAACAGGAAAGGCTCCTGAGTCTTGGGTGACTCCTCCAGGATGGACTCATGGAAAGACACAGACATAGAAAGAACCCTACATAGTGAAAAGGCTTGGAGAGGCTTCCTTCTGAATTAGTTGTGGGGCCCCTGCTCTACTTAAAACACTGAGTCCCCAGAGTAGTCAGGGCTGGAGACAGAGCTCTATGAAAAGTCACACCAGGGTCTCTAGTGTAGACCTAACATCAGGAACCAGGAGAATGGACTACAGTACGGCCTCTGAGGTGCCTTCTAGTCACCTGGCCCAGAATTGTGCGATTGCAGACCGACACAAACATGGTGGTTCTATTCTTGTACGTCAAGTTTGGCCTTCCTAAGCTTGCCTGGAATGCTCTCCCTCCCTTTTTGGAATGCTTAGCCCTCTCCAAGGCTCTGTTCAAAGACTTCCTCTTTTCAGAGGCCTTTCCTTATTCCTCCAGTTGATAGCCAGCTCTTCTCCCTGTAGCATGTATTGTTTTCTGTCTGCATCCTGGATTTTATTTATCCATGAACATACCTCTCCCAGGAGATGGTAAGGCCCTTGAGAGAAGAGATTGCTTCATTCTTTGATTCTCTGTCCTCAGCACCTAGGACAGCGCCACTTAACAAGTGACAGATGGATGGACAGATTGCATTTTCCACTGTTTCTGCCCTTCCCCCTTCCCTGGGGTCAACTCTTACCTTTCCAGAGAATCCTGGCTTGTGTTCAGACGGGTACAACTCTGGGGAGAGATTGGACAGAAACCAGTGGAAGGTCCTACAACCCAATCTTTTTTGCAGCTGAAGCCGTTCGCTGCAGTCCTGTTTCTCAGCCTGGAGGGGAAAACATAGAAAGCAGAGTTAATGCCGGATGAATAGCACAGCTGCAGAAAGGCAGAGAGCTTGTATTTATTGTTCTCTGTATCCCTGGTGCTTAGCACAGTGCCTGACACACAGCAGGTGCTTAATAATTGTTGGCTTGCAGAATAATTGATTAGTTCAAGGCCATTTTCAGAGCACCCCACTATACCTTTAGGCTTTTAAAAGGGGGCGTGACACAGAGATGGAACCGAGACCTGAGACAACCAGAGATGCCAGTCAAAAATAAATCCCAGTTATTTAGAGGGAACCATGGGAATAAGGTAGTAAGTTGCATGGCCTTAGGTGAGGTAAGTCCTGGACTGAACCAGGTGGGAGCTAGCATCAAGAACCCCAGACCCTGCCTTTTACTGGTACTGCATGGGCTGTGGATGTTGAGGCGAAGGAGATGAACTCTGAACTCTTGAGTTCTTTCCCCTTTTGGGGGATTCCAAACTAGGGTAATATTATAAGTACTATGGAGGTCCATGGATTGATGGTTCTCACTAGAGCGAGAGAGGTTGACTTTCTGAGCCAGAGCAGTTTCCCCCTTGGGGGCAGAGTGTGGCCTCACCCCAAGTACAGTATTACAAGTTTACGGGGCTGGATAGGACTAGATTGAGAGGAATTAGAAGCAGGGGTTAGATGTGAAGCTGGATTAGATACAGAATTAGGTACAAGCCCCTGGGGAAGATGGAGGCCTACCAGAAGGGAAGGACGTTATTTTTTGGGTCATTTCATCCTGTATTTGATGTCTTGTTAGCCAAGATGCTTGCATGGGAGCTGATAGCCTTTTCCCTTTTGCCATTGAGTTCTAAATGCAGAGTAGATACTGAGGTTCTTAGGGGACATCTCGGGTGGGGAAATGATTGAAAAAGAGCATGATTATTGATAGAGCGCTACGATTGAATTCAGTGTGTGTCAATAAATCCAGAGCTATAAGACTGGGCCATGCCTACTACTGTTGCTGCTACTACTGGTGGTGATGATGATGATCATGATGATAAGTGTACACTATGTAGCACTTTAATGAAAGCAAAACTAAGAGTAAAATTAAGACAAACAATCACAGTGTATGGAAGCCCCACAAAAAAGACTGGCTGAATTTATTTTCAGATGCATTCTTCCTACTGGCCAGTAGGTGGCTCCCTTCACCTTATGAATGAATGAGTGACTTTCCAGAAACTGGAAATTAACCCCGGGTGAGACTAGTAGGTAAAAGAGAAAAGTGCACCTTATAATAAGCAGGCAGCCCAAGAAAAAGTGGCTAGGAAGTATTAACACCCCGCATTTGTATAAGGCGTTAGAGCTTTTCAACAACTCCCCGTGTACCTTGTCTAAGTCATCCAGTGGGGCGGCTGGGCAGCTTGCTGAGCCTATGTTTGCATATGAGGGTATTGGTGCTCCCAAGGCTGAAGCGGGGCTGTGTGGTGCAGTGGGCCTGGGTTCAGATTCTGCCGCTGACCCAAGCTTTGTGCTTGGACATCAGTTTCCTCTTTTGTGAAGAGGTCAGTTTAGGCCACCTCCACCTTCCAGCTCTGAATCCATGATCTTATGACTTACCCAAGACTACACAACTAGTAAGTGGTGCAGCTTGAGCTAGGCCAGGAGGTAAGTAACATCAAGTGGTACAAAAAACCTGCGTTGGTTTTAGGATTTCATTACTCTGGAGAACTCCTGATGTCAGACCTCTGTCTCCCAATACCCTTGACATCTTAGAGAACTGCATGGGGGCACTGAGAGGCTGAGTGGCTTTGCCCAGCGGGGCACATGAACCCAGGTCTTCCTGGCTCTCAGGCCCAGGGCTACCTATCCACTCCACCTTGATGATGCCATGATGTTTCACTGGAATTCAGGTTCGAATCCTAGTTCTGTGAATGTGACCTTGGACAAGTCCCTTTGCCTCTTAAAATGCTAGGTCGTCAGTTTCCTCGTGTGCCCTGTGGAGGGCTCTGAATAGATGATGTCTGAAATCTCTCCTAGCTGGAGCACACTGCCCCTCATCTGTCCAGGTAGCCAGAGGACAGGAGAACAGCCTTGTGGGATGGCACAGAAACAAACAAAAACACCCTCTGACCAAGCTGCCTCCTAAGAGATGGGCGGAGGATTTCCCTAAGGCAGGTCAGTCTGCTGTAAGGACCCCTGACCACCTCCCGATTCTCCCCCTCCCCACAGCCTGTATTTCTGTCCAGGAGCCTGAATGTCAGTCACCAGGGCACTCCTCTTACTGGAAGGCTGAGGGAAGAGTGGGCATGTGAACTTTTGTAAATTATTTAAATGATAATGGCGTTTCAAGTCGATGCCAGCCTCATGTGTTAGCCGAGCAGATGTCATTTCAGCGTGTCTGCCTAATATAACACTGGGTACCTAAAGATAAAGTCCCCAAACCCAGAAGAAAAATCTGAGCCAAAATCCTGTCCACAGGCTGGCAAGCTAGCCTGGACATGCCCTCTGATACCCAAGAGCAAACACTGTACTTTCTTATCCAGAGCTGCGAGAAAGAGAGATGTTATTGATCAGTAGCTCAGGAATTGAGAATCAGTGTGGCAGAGTGGAAACAGCACTGGGGCTGGAGCTTAGAGCCCTGGGTTTGAATTCTGCTCTCACAGAGAGCCGTAACTAGGGTGGAGCAATTGGTGCTTTACCCCAGAGCACAGAATTTTGAAGGCTCTGCAAACACTTGCAGTCCTTCTGGAGCAGAGTAGAAACAACAGAATTTAGCTTCTACTTTGTTTTATTTTGGTTCAGACCTGTAATTTAATGGATTTAGGGAGCTTCCTTATTTTATCAATTCAGATCAGTAGCAATTGTGCAACTTGGAGTCTCAGAGTTACCTGAGGGCAGTGAGAAGTTAAGTGACTTGCCCAGGATCACACAGCCAGTATAGGTCAGAGGCAGGACTTGAGCCCCTGAAGTCATCCTGACTCTGAGGCCAGCTCTATCCACTATACCACACTGCCCCTCAGAATCTACTTGGCAGGAATAATTGGCTATAATATTAAGCCACTGGAGGACCTGTACCCTCTCCTTCACAGTGGTACCCCAGGCAAAGTTCCCTTGTCTTCTCCTAGCCCTGGCCTCCCCTAGGGCCTTTCAGGTTTCTGAGCCTCACTCCCTTAGCAGAATTAGAGGCACCATTCGGGTGGGTCTGCTTAGGTTTCCGAAACTGCCAATTACAGCTATGCTCTCACCCTATGTGCCTGGTACGTATTTGGTGCTTAATAAATGTTTATTGATGGACATTTACTGGCTCTATGACCACCAGCAAGTCACAAAGACTCCTTGTCCGTAAAACAGGGATACCAGTATTTGTCCTACTTATCACTCAAGGTTGTTAGGAAAGGATACCGTAAATCTTAACGGCCACATAAATGTGAATTATTGTTATGGCTAGCTCTGCTATCCTGAATGAATGGCCAGCATTGTAAATATCCAAGCAAAGATTATTAGAGTCCCCTGACTGTTTTGCCTTGGTTTTTTGGGTTTTTTTTATCCCTGGCACATAGTAGGTGGTTTTTGTAAATGCTTGTTGATTGACAAGATCACTCCCAGTCCAGCTGTTTGCCTGGGAATTCTCTCCTTGGGTGGGCAGGTGAACTGAAGAACCTTTAAGGGTTGGTGGCTGTAAGATTATGCATTTTTATTGGAATGCCTGGGTGTCACAAGCAAGGGTATATCACAAGCAGAATGAGAAGCAGTGTGGTTATAGGAGTCAGAAAGTCTCACCTCTGCCCCTTACTAGCTCTGTGACTTTGAGCCTATCACTTAACCTCCTCGTCCCCCGGGTTTTCCATCTGTAGGAGGACAGAGGTGTGTTAGTGACCTTCGAGGCCCCTTCCTTCTCAAGCTCTGTGATCCTGTGACATCCCACGTGAAGGCGGGTGAGGATCTGCGGGCACTCTCTCCACTTGTCTGGACTCCCTCAGTCCCTTCCTTGACCCTTTCTAAGGAGAAGCGGATGAGTGGAGGCAGGTGCAGGCGTGACTCCTTCCTTACCTGGCTCAGAGAGAAAGCTTTGGGACTGTGCTGGTAGAAGGTGTCCTTGAAGGAACCCAGCCAGGTCTCCACAATTCGGATCTTGTTCCTGAGGGCCGCTTTGTGATCAGGGGAGGCATTGGGGGGCTGGTTGCGGTAGACATGCCCCACCCGGGAGCAGGGGAGGATTTCTACGGAGCCACCACAGAGCCACACCTGACGTCAAGGGAAAAAGAAAAAATTATCTTACATTCTTTCTTTAAGGGTATTACAAATCATAAACAGTCCCAGAAGAGAGGGGATGGTAAATGAGAATCTTCAGGGAGCTGAATTTCTTGCACTGGAGGCTGTGGTGGGGGAGGAGGGTGCCCCAGCTGGGGGGGGGGGGTGAGAGGAGGTGGTCTGCTCTTTTAAGAGTCCTGGCAGCAGTGTGGGGAGGGGATGATCGTCCGGAGGTCCTCTGGAAGATGGGGAAGCTGCAGAGAGGGCATGGCGGGCTCCTCTGATGCCTACAGTTTTCTAGCCCAGGACCAGCTCTATTTCAGATGTGCCCCACCCACCCACCCAACCCTGAGATTTTTCTAATGTACATTCATTGAAAACACAGAAATGTGCTTCTGCAGTCCAGGTGAAAGCCCAGCTTGTGTTCTTCAGCTCTTACCCTTATGGAAAGTTCCAGGTTTTCACTCCCCCAAATGGACATGAGGGAATCATACGCTCCAGTGTTTTGAAAGTAATGCCGATCGATTGCCACCACTCCCCCCGGCACCACAGGGCTCCTGGTTGCAGAAGAGGGAGAGAAGGATGCGTTATTTCAGAATGGTGAGCTCAGCTAGCTTCTTTGGAGAAAGGCTTGTCTCTCCACAGCAGGTCATTCATTCAACAAGCCTTTATTAGGTGCTGATCACATAGAAAATGCTGCTCGGTGCTGGGGAGATAAGCACTAAACTCTCCCCTTTACTCTGAGATCCTCAGCACCCATAGGTAGGCCGTGCCGCAGTATCTCACGCTGACACTGAAGGATGGGTGATTGTGTCACTGTGGGTCCTTCTTCCAATCATAAGCTCTCTACTCACAGGCTCTGTGAATGGCCGTGGCCAAAACACTCATTGCCCAGTGGCCAGCCTGGCGATGAGCCTCTCCAAGTTTGCCAGGGCTGGCTTGCCCTTGGACCACACACAGCCTTTCCCACTTAGGACTGGCCAGAGCTTGGGTTCTGCTGTTGCAGCCCCTGAGAGCCTAGGGTCCCACCTTTGCCTTGGCGAGGCATTGGAGAAGGCCCTGGCGGAGGGGCTGGCCCTCCCGCTCCCAGAAATGGATCCCATCTCCAACCGGAAGAGTTGGAGAAGGACAAGATGTTCTTGTTTGTTCGTTCTGTATCTGTCTATCAATCTGTCTCTACCTACCTACTCTGTCTTTCTCTGTCCTATCTCCTCTCTCATCTGTCTTTCTGTCTGCTCTGTGTCTGTCTCTATATCCTTCTGTCTACATCTGCTCCATCATCTCTATATCCTTCTGTCTGCATCTGCTCTATCATCGCTCTGCTCTATCATCTCCTCTATCATCTATCTTGCAGCAGCTTGCATAAAGTATTGTGCACATAGTGGTGGTCAGGAAGGGCCTGTTGAAATGCACTGAAAGGTGTATAAAAAGATAGCAAGCCCATGTCCTTGATGCCTGGGTGGGAAGACTCATAAGCCTCAGGAATGGGATAAACCAACGGTGGGTCTCTGTCTGTGACTCCCCTTCATCTTGAGCAGTTTAGGGTTATAGGACTCAGCTGGAAGGAATACCAGTGGTCACCTAGTCTGGTGTCCTCATTTTGTAGAAGAGGAAACTGAGGCCCAGGGAGAGAAAAGGGTTTGCTCACGGGCACATAGTTTGCTGTGACCGATCTGGGGTTCCAATCCAGGTCTTTTGATTGTAAGTACAGCGTTCTTTTCCTTGGGTCTAGATGAAACTGAGAGAGGAACTGGTTTTGTTCCCAGCGTCTGTCAGTCCCAGGGGCTCAGAATGTTGGAAGAGAGCAGGGTCCAAGGGGCACCTGCCTCATGCCTGACCCCAAAGCACCCAGCATAAAGCTGGGCAGTGAGTAGGAGTGCGAGACATGACTTGTTTAGCCGGCTGCCATCAGGCACCATTCTCTAGAAGGGGGCTCCAATTTGCCCTTGACATAAACAAAACAAGGGCTGCCTCATCCCTTTGGGGTGTGCTGCTGTTCACATGGGATTCTCCCAGCAGTTGCTGATGCTCTAAAGATGAGAGAGGAGCATGCTAGGAAATGGCATCTTACCTGATGGGGCTGATGGGAGACTGGCGTGCCTTCCTCTCACGCTCTGGCAAAGGTTTCCAGTGGAAATTTAATTCCCAGTCAAAGACCCCTCGCTGCAAGTCTGCAGAATGATAATACTGGAAATTCTTCCAGTCTATCACATCAATGATAGGAGACACCACGCGGCTCCTAAAGAGGATTGGTAAAAATGGACACAAAGGTGAGAGCCTCGTGGGTAATGTGCATATGGCTGAGTATAGACAGACTTGCCCAATCAAAGAATCTCAGAGTTGGCAGAGACCTCCAGGGTCACCTCGTCCTACCGGCACCCAAGTAGGAATTACGTCTATAGCAGCTGGACAAGGTGTCAGCCATCCCGCCTCCAGCCAGTGATGGGGAACTCACCACTTCCCCAAAGAGCTCATCTCATTTATGGATGGTCTGATGGTTAGGAAAATTTTCCTGGCATTGAATGGAAATTCCTCCCTACAACTTCTCCCTGGTCCTGGCTTTGCGTCTGAGTCTGAGAAAAACAACCAGGAGGTGAGACTGGAGACCTCTAAGGATGCTGTGAGTTCTAAATCTGTGAATCTCAACCCGTACACGAGTGTCTCTAAATCAAGTGCTTCCTGGCCACTTCCTTTAAAATACACTCCTCCTACCATTTCAGGTCAGCACCTTTTTACACACACACACACACACACACACACACACACACACACACACACACGTGTGTGCATGCATGTGCCTGTATGTGTTTCCTGTCCCAAGAGAATGTATGCTCCTTGAGGGCAGGAACTGTTTCATTTTTGCCTTTCTGTCCCCAATGCCTGGCAGAATAACAAGCATAGTAGGTACTTAATTATTGCTCAGCGGTTGATTATCATGTAGGTATTCCCTCCGTTTTACAGATGAAGGAACTGAGTCTGAGCTCAGGTGACTTAACAAACAAGCTTGTGTTGCAGGTCCCTGACAGAGGTGGTCCTCGAAGCCCCGTCTTTCCTGACATCACCTCTCCCTGCTCTTTTTAATCCTCAGGGGTCTCACATCTGCTCCCAATATATCATGTGACACCGTCCCTCTTTTCTGAGACAGTAGACATGAGTTAAGTGGGTGTTGGAAGGAGAGGCAAAGTTATGGATGGGAGTGGAGGAAAGCAATACTTTCATAAATGCCAAGTATAACAAACACATGAGGGACGCCCTCACCACCACGTCCACTGCGGCCGCCATCCTGCCTGCTCTCACACTCGCATGTTACAGCAATACCAGTATGCCAGGATTCCATGATAAATCATAACAATGGTAATGATGATAACAACGAGCATTTATGTAGCTCTTTAAGATTTGTAAAGTGCCTTACAAACATTATCTCATTTGATCCTCACAACAACTCTGGGAGGCGGGAGGTATTCTGCCCATCTTACAGATGAACAAGCTTAGAGCCAGTCCATGATGTCCTTTAAATGCCCTTCACAAGTGGAATTCTCAAGTAGAACAAGAGGTCAGTACCTGGAGATTGGTCAGTGTGATTTCTGCTTCCGCCATCTTATCTTATTCTATCCCAGTGGTTCTGCAAATCTCAGTGATGTGAATACACAGAATGGGCTCCATTGGAAATCTGTGTGGGGCAGGGGCCTCACCTTCTCGCAGGACTGGAAGCCACTCCAGGTGTCCTAGGAGCCCCTCCCTCCCACTTACTGGCCCAACCTCATCAGATGGCTGAGTGCTCGGCCCACCCCTTAGACCTGCAGGTAGTTAAGGCCTAGAGCCAGGAGCCAAGACACAGGGTCAGCTAAATGGCAGAGCGTGAAATGAAGCCAAGGTCCTGGAATGTGGGAAGCCAGCCCCATTCTATGTTTACAGCGAGAGGAATCGCCATTTCCCTACCATCCATCTCTGGAGACCGGCAAGGTTGAAACAGACCTGAGAGGGTCAATGGGGGACTTCAGGATGTGATTCTCTGCTTGCAGTGATGAGTCAGGAAGCTGGACATTGGGTGGGGAAGTGGTGGTGGTGAGAGTGTTTGTATGTAAAGCCAGGGCCTTCAGGGACCCTTTCTCCCCCTTTCCTTCAGCATTGTTCCCCTATGGGAAACAAGTAGAACACAGTTCCTTTGGTCCACTGTTATTCTTGGGTCATCTTGGCGGGGAACCTTAGAACATGGAGGAACAAAAAGATGGAAAGGACAGTGGGCCTCCATTTTCTCTTTCTCTCATCTCTACTCTGACTCAGTGGCCAGATCCTGTGGATTCGAACTCAGGTGGAGTTTGCCCATCCTCCCTTCTCTTTTCTCTTCTCACTACCATTATCCAAATTTATGCTCTTTTTCTCACCTGGACTATTCTATGGCTACCTAAATGTCCTCCCTGACTCCAGTCTTTAATAAGCTCATAGGTTTTGCTTGTTTGTATGTTATAGAGCTAAAAGAGACCTTGGAGTTTAGCCCAACCCCTTTATTTTGCAGATGAGGAAACTGAGTCCCAAAGAAGTTAAGTGACTTGCCCAATGTCATGGAATTTAAGTAGCAGAATAAAAAACTGACCCCAGGTTTTCTGACTTCAGACTCAGCTCTTTTAATCATACCATGTTTCTTCTTTCTCATCCTGTTTTCAGAGTACTCTTTCTAATACATAGATCCTACTGAATGCTCAGCAATCCTCTGTGGCTGCCTATTACCTACTAAATAAAATACACATGGCTTAGCTTGGCACTTAATGGCCCTTCTGGATCTAACTTACATTTCTAGGCTCATGGTGGTGTCTTCTCTATTTCAACCAAATTGGGTAACTAACCATTTCTTAATGTTGCTTCTTTCTCTCCTAGATGCGTAGATCTCCCAATTCAACAGGCATTTATTAAGCACCTCTTGTATGCCAGACATTGTTCTAGGCAATGAAGACACAAAAACAAAATGAAAAAATGAAATCTGCTCTCAAGGAGTTTACATTCTACTGGGGAAAATAACAGGTAAATAAAAACAAAATGAAGAGTTTGGGGGTGGGAAAGAGGAGTATAACGACTCAGAAATCAGGAAAGGCCTTTTGTAGGATATGGCCTTTGAGTGTCCCAGAGGGGAGGGGAGACGGTCTTCCAGGCATGAGGGACAGCTTGAGCAAAGGCGCAGAGAGGGGAGGTGGATCAGGCCCATTTCTCTAGGACACGGCCTCCGGGATCTCATGGTCTTCTGGTTTCTCATCCAGCCTTCAGTATACACCCATGCCTTCCCCTTCCTCTAGGCCTAATTGCATGTTGGGAGCTGCTGCTGGGGTTCCCCTCTGGCAGGAGGTTCAGAGCCTGGCAGCTCATGTCCCCTCGTCCAGCAGCCCTTGAGATGGAACCTTCCTGTCCTTTTTCTCCTTTCCTGTCCTCTCCTCTCCTGGGGCTTTTTGGCCGGCCGCTCAAGTCTCAGGAGGCCTCTCTGGAGAGGGCCAGGGGTCGCCGGGTCGAGGGACCTCCAGCACCCTTTTCCCACCCATGAGCCTAGCCATCCTGTTCTGGGAGTCAGCAGAAAGTGTGCGCTTTCTCTGAGCAGGTCTGCCTGAGCCAGTGGCTTCTGGGACATGCAGACGAGGCATGCAGACTGTGAAGGCCGTTTGTTTCTGGACATCCTGGAGGCTAGAAACCTCCTGGTGGTGAAAGCCCTGCATTTGGAATCAGGAAGAGTTGGGTTGAACCTCATATATAAATATAAATATTCATATTTACACGATAAATGTTTATGTTAAATATAAATATTTATACAATAAAGACAAATATGTATGTAACAGATACTTATGTAACAACTATATAGCAATATGTTTATGTAAGTGTATACAATAAATATATATAAATATAATATATATAAACATAAATATATATGATAAATTTCTGTAATAAATATGAATATTTATATTTATATAATAGATCTATATAATAAAAATATTTCTATATAATAAAAATATTTATGCTTCTATGATAAATTTATATAATATACATTTACATTTCTATAATAAATTTATATAATATCAATGTGTATATTTATGTGATATCTCATAAGGATCACCTAAGCATCACATAAATATACAGTTATATTTCTTGATAACTATATATTTAATATTTCTATAGTATTTAATGCTTATATATAAATTATGGATGATTTTTATTTATAGAATAAATTTATTCTGTAAATATTGATATTTCTGTAATGACTATAAATAGCTGTATGGCCGGGAGGTCAGTGAGGCTCTCAGCTTCCTCGCTGGTAAAATGAGGGCGTTAGAAAAGATGACCTCAGAAGTCCCCTCCAGCGCTAACATTCTGTGCTTCTGAGTCACCGGGGGAAAACTAAAGCAAACTTTGAAATATTATCCTCTTCACACTCACTCTATGTTCACGCTGGCCGACGAGCCCAGAAGCTTCAGTTGTTTCTTAGGGGAGCCTGTCTGCCAAGGCCTGAAAACAAGCCCTGGGCCAGAGACTGAAGGAGCCCTCAGTACAAGAGTGTTTGAATGAAGCAGAGGGTGATGAAAAGGGAAGAACCTCCCTGGGAGAAGGCAGAATGAAACCAGGAGCACAGAGGGAATGTTTGCGGGGCTGGGGAGGGTGGGAAAAGGGGAGAACCAAGAGGGAGGGCACTGGGAACAGAGCAAAATTTGAATTTCCTAGCCCTGTAGAATCAGTATTTAGGCTGTCCCCTTTATTTATACAGGTTTAGTGGCAGAACTGAGCCTAGGATCCCAATATCCTTTTGCCCATTATAGGATTCTTTATTTTCTGCTGAATCTCAAACACCCGTTTCCCACCTCCCCACCTTTGCTCAGGCTGTGTCCTTTAGGTCTGGAATGTGTTTATCTTGAAGGAAGAAAGACCTGAGTTCAGATTATGCCTCAGACACTTTGCTTACTGTGTGACATTGACTTAGCCTCAGTTTCCTCATCAGTAAAATAGGGATAATAAAAACACCTGCCTTGCAGGGTTGTTGTGAGAATCAAACAAGATAACGTATGTAAGGTACCTCCATCAGGAAGCCTTCCCTGATTCCCTCATAACAGTAGCATCTCTCTACCTTCCCCTTCATATAGCTCTTTACCCAGAGCCCTTTACGTTGTGTCCTATTACAAATGATATCACTGGGGATCAGAAGCCAGATGCAAAAAGTACTTAGACCCCAGCAGACTGGCCCTACTGGGCTTATTTGGGGGCCCATAAAGAGAAGACAGCTCAATGAAGGATTGGTATTAATTAGATAATTCATTTTAATTGAGAAACCCCCTAAAATGCCTTTATAGCAGTCTACATCTCTGATAGGAATACTCAGCAGCTCCCTACCTCATCCTCCCCATCCCATGTGACCAGGAAGGGGCTTTTGTTACGTAGGTGGTGAGAACAGTCATGGCATCCCTCCCATTTTCTGTGCTGTGGTCCACGAGTCCCCTCATGCCCCTTCTCTGCTCTGGAATCTTCAATGGCTCCCTACTGCCTCCCAAGTAATGCTTCAACTCCTCCATCAGGCCCACCACAGACTGACACCAAACCTCCTCACCTTCAGCGGAGATCATTCTGTCCCACTCTATGCTGCAGTCGGACTGATTGGGTCTCTGCCCTGTACTCTCTGACCACCAAGACTTTTTCACCAGTAGGTGTTTTGTCCTCAGTAATGATAAGAGCACTTCCCTTCTGACTTCATTTAGCCCAGGGATTTTGAAGTGTCTCACCTCAATATACTTACCATGTAGTATTGTAAGAGAGTACAGCTCTTTGTGCCTTACCAGGTTGTCTTGTGGACCAGGGGATCTGAAAGACTATACCAACAGACCACAGTCTCTGAGGGAAAGTCAATAGAATGGGTCTGCTTGCCAAGGACCAGCCCAGCTTGGTCACCAGCAATAGGCTGGCCATGAAGCATCTGCCCTGGGGTGCCCCAGCCTCAGCTTCCAAGTGACCAGTGACCAGTTAGCACAGTGCCTGGCACACGGTAGGTACTTAATAAATGTTTATTGACTGACTGATGGAAAAGGGGACAGAGAGTGCTAAGAATCGCATTGTTTTGTGACCATCTAAAAACTTTAACTTAATTCTAAGTATTCTAATTATGATATCTTTCTCCAATGACCACCATGTTATAGTTGGCATGACGCTGGTTGTATTGAGTTCTCAACCATTAAAAATCCATGATTCCTCAAAAGAGACCTCCCCAACAATCCACATAGGAGAAACTAAAGGGATAAAAAACATTTTTTCCCCTCAGACTATAATCTTTTCCACTTCCCCCAGTGGAAAGATCCCTGGCTTTGGAGGTAGAGGATGTGGGTTCAGATCCTGTCTCTGTCACATGCTACCTGTGTGACCATAGGCAAGTCACATAGCTTCCTGGCCTCGATTTCCACAGCTTAAAAAAAAAAGAGGAGTTTGAACTATATGGCCTCTAAGGTCTATGTCATAGAGTCTGTCACTCTGTGGAGTTGTGTGACCTATCTGCGCATACACACACACACACACACACACACACACACACACACACATATATATGTATAAGTGTGTGTGTTATAGACAGTGCAGATTGATAATGAGGATGTGTTCAGTATAGAAAAGAAAGAAGAAAGCAGGCCAGATCCACTTGGGAAACTGCAGAGTTTTTAATTATCCCAAACTGGTCCCCAGTGCAAAACCTCATCTTTTTAATAAAAATGTCTTCCTAAAGATGCTGTGCTATTGCATCTCTTGAAAGACCCTGATCTCTAGTGTAATGTATCAGAGTTGTGGCCGAACCAAAGGGCAATGAAGAGATGCCTCATGGGTAGAAGTCGGCTATAGGACCTTCATCTTCGGTGACGTGCTGGAGCTGGTTTGGACCAGTTCAGCGGGTGGTTAAATTCCAGTGTGAGCATTTATTTATACCTCGGAAATCAACAAACACTGTAAACCAGGGCTTGATTTGTTTTTTGTTGATTATCTAGACCAGAGGTTTCAAACGCTCAGCAGGCTCTCCATTGGAGCCTGAACCAAATTAAAATGTAATTGGGAAATGTTTGTTTCTTTAAAATACAACACAATGTAGATAAGCTTAATCTGAAGTTTTCTAAGGCAGTGTGTGACCTGTTGGGATCCATTTTGAGTTTGACACCACTGGTCTAGATATAAGAAAGTGTTGGAGAAGAATGTTGTTAATGCAGATTAAATTTTAAAGTGTGCCCAGTACATTTCCCCCCCCCAGATAGCTGGTTGTTAAACGTTTACCAGCATATCCTCAGATATCATCAAGATGAGAAAAGGAGGCAGCTTAGCTGGGAATTCAGAGGGATAACAGGACAGCCGGAATGCTGCCATGGTATCCACAAAATGGAAAATGATGCCCTACGGAGGAGGTACAGGAGAATACTACTACCCACAAGAATAAATAATAATAATTAAATAATATATAATTAACTAAATAATAAATAATAAAACTGACGTATATAACACTTTAAAGTTTGCAGAACACTTTCCCTATATCAAGATATGGACCCATATGGAGGGACTTGTGTGTATGTGTGTGTGCGTGCATGCTTGCATGTGTGTGTGTGTGTGTGTGTGTGTGTGTGTGGTAGAGGGGAGACCATGATCTATGATCTTCATTTTCTATAAAGGGAAATTTCAGAACTTGAAGTGGTGTGTAGAAATCGGTTATTGTTATAACTGTGGTTATTAGGGATCATGGAATCATAGATTTAGATCTGGGAGAAAATGTAGAAATCAGAATCATATCTGGGAGGGACCTTCGTGACTGAATCCTAGCCCCTCATTTTACAAATGAGGAGACTGAGGCCCAATAATGTTAAGTGACTTGCCCAGGGTACCTCTGCCAATAAGTATCTGAAGCAGGGTTCAAACCAAGGGCTTCCTATCTCCAAGTCTGGCATTCTATCCACTGTGCCATGCTTTGAGCCCTTCCTCTCACAGAAGAGGAAACTGGGACCCAGTTTTGAAGAATTTTACATTCTTCTACCTAAATACGAAACAGAAATAAAGTTGTTAAATATTATTAAAGTATTATTGTTTGTGATGAAGAGAGAAAAAATGTCAGAATAATTATTTGTGGTGAGTCTCTTTGAGATCCCTACTTGCATGGAGTCTATGAATTTATGGTTCTCTGATCTCTAAGGTACCTCCCAGATGTTTCTCTGACTTCTAAGGTACCTTCCAAGTCCAAATCCATGATTCTACAATCTCTCCGGGCTCTCTCATCTCTGGCGTCCCCACCTCTGACCCATCTGCTTCTCTCCAGCAGTGTTCGTCAAGCTTGCCTTAGCCAATGCCAAATTCCACAAAGGAAGTGGCTTTTTAACCTTGCCTTTTGTTGGAGGGTCAGAGGGAAGGATGGGTCCTGGTGAGGTGGCCTTCAGGTGGTACCATGAGCGGCCACATTTCCCTTTTATGTTCCTGAGACTCTAGAGAAAACAGCCCTTATCTTTGTTCTGCGTTAGTGAGCAGAGGTCTTTTCCAAATTGAAGCTGTCCATGTTAGGTCCTTCCGACAGAAGAATTGCCTTCCCCTAACCTTAGGGGTTTGGTTCCCCTGGCATTGTCCTGAGTTAGCTTTTTGCTTTGATTGAGCCGGCCTGCAGCCATGGGAACCTGAAGAGCCCGATGCCCTCTGGGTCAGGAAGGGAATCGTAGCTCCTGTTCATGGAGGGCCTGCAGGCTTCCAATGTGCATCCCTCACAACAGGTGAGGAAAGTTGAGTGTTCAATGACGTCTCCGTGATCTCACAGCTAGTAAGGGTCAGCGCCCCTTCAGCCAGTAGCAAAGAGCCAGCAGCCGAGCCCCTCTGTTTAATGGAGCTAACCCCCAGGCTTCTGAAAACCCTGGCAGAGAGAAAGAGAGCAGGTCCTTCATCCCAATAAGCTGGGAGTTCTGGCTCTTAGTTTTCATTCATCAGTTCTAAGGACCCAGAAGATGGGTCGATTATCACTCTTTTTTTTTTAATCTACCCTGGACTTGATCTAGCTCACTCAGAGCGCTGTCTTTGCCCCTTTAAAGAGGAAGCTGGTGCAGTGGGTAGAGAGCTAAACTTAGGAAGGCCATAGTTCAGATCCTGCCTCTAAAACATTAGCTGTGTGACCCTGGACAAGTCACTTCACCTACGCCTGCCTCAGTTTCCCCATCCATAAAATGAAGGTGATAATAGCACCTACCTCCCGGGGTTGTTGTGAGAATAAAGTGTGATAATATTTGTAAAGAGTTTTGCAAACCTTGAAGTGCTGTTGTTATTGTTATTATTAGCTGTGGAGGTTTGCTTCCTTTGGCTTCAATTCCAAAGCCCTTTGACCACGGAGGAGGCAGCCCCCTTTTAAGTCACCCCCCCCCCCACCGGCCCGATGGGTAAGTGGCTGGGTCCACACCCCTGCCCAGTCCAGCACCACCCCTTTCGGCCCAAGCCAGGCCTCCTCCAGGACGGCGTTACCTGTCGCCGGCTATTCTGCTGAGGAGGGGCTCCAGCCAGCCCTTATGGCACTCACAGTGGGAGTCCATGAAGACCAGCACGTCCCCGGCGGCCCGGGCAGCCCCCAGCATGCGGCCCTTAATGGCACCCAACCTCTTGTTGCTTCGGAGCAGTTTCACCCCGTCCAGCTGGGCCACGTGGTCACTCAGCGCAGACTTGAGGTGGCCTGGAATGAATGGAATGGAATCATCATCAGTGCATTCTGTGGAGACTCAGAGAAAGCCCAGCTTACTGGGATCTGGGGGGTGCAGTGCATAGAGCCTGAGCTTGGAGGCAGGAAGATCAGAGCTCAGTCCCTGCCCCAGGCACGTATGAGCTGGGTCTCTGCCTCAGTTTCCTCATCTATAAAATGGGAATAATAATAGCACCTATTTAAATACTAGCTATTATTATTAGTAGTAATAGTAATAACTAGTGATTAATTAGTAAAAGTGGTAAGTTAACAATTTATTTCTTGTGATAATAAATGTTGATTGACTGATTAACTGTTTCTGTTATGAAGAAGTTAATTAATTAGGCTGACCCACTGGGGACAGTTTTGGCCCTTTGGTCAGAAACGTTATTATGTTATGACTTTAAGCATCCATCATTTCACCAGTATCCTCAGTCATAATTAGCAGTTTTGGCATCTGGGGCAAGCAGCATGGAGTAATGTCTAAGGTTGGCAGGACCGTACCCTTAAATCAGCTTTGTAATTTGTGGTGTAAAAATCATACTAGAAGTAATGAAGACAATTCCAGTTGAGTTGGAAGGAAAATTAATAGCTATTTCAGCATAAAGAGGATGAAGGAGTGTGGCTGCGGGGCAGCTAGGTGGTGCAGTGGATAGAGCACTAACCCTGAAGTCAGGAAGACCTGAGTTCAAATCCGACCTCAGACCAAACACTTGACACTTTGACACTTACTAGCTGTGTGACCCTGGGCAAGTCACTTAACCCCAATTGCCTAACAAAAAAAAAAAAAAAAGTAGGAGTGTGGCTGCTATGTTTCTGTGCCCTCTAGATTTCAGTTCTGGGGAGCTTAGCCCAGTTCACCCCACTCTAGTGATGGTTCTGGGTGCTCCCTCCACTAATAGGGGCCTAGCCAATGTGCTGGCAGACTTCCTCTAAGGCTTTTTTACATTTTGTGGATATTTATGCCTAAAAATTCTAGGTTCAGCACTAAAGGAATGACTCTATAATGGTGGAAATTAAGGCCCCTTGATCAGGGATGAGGTACCTTTATAATATACCCTCCTACCCAGGGCCTTCTGAATTTGTGTGGCTGAAAAAGTTCATCACCTGGTGAGGAGGCTCTGACTGTTTCTGGGCCCTCCCAGTGTGATAGGGCTTGCTAGAACCCGTGTTCCACTGTCATAGTCCAGGGCCGCTCCCCTTAAGCCATTGGGGAATCAGAGTAGCACCCAACTAATCCTTAATGCTTTGAACTACAGTATAATGTGACAAATGCGTGTTAAGCACATATTGTGCCCTGGAGACAGAGGAAAAATATAACAACCCCTGACCCCTAAGACCTTGTGTGCTTGGGGAAAGGGGGGGAGGAGGAGAGAGAGTGAGAAAGAGAGACAGAGAGAGGGACAGAGACAGAGAGAGAGACAGAGAGAAGGGAAAGGGAGGTAGCAGCAGAGAGCTAGATGAGCCATGGGGAAGGACTTCAAGGTAGTTAAGTGACTTAACGTGAGAAGAGGATGAACTTCCCAGATCAGCATTGGAGACACCTCTTTGGATGGTGTCTGTAAATTCTGCCTAGGAACAGCGCACTTCTCCGCATGTGTATGAGGCACTTTGGTGATAACGCATTTACAGATCTGCCATCTCCCTGGAGCCTCCTAACTGTCCTGTGAGGTAATTAAGGGGTGCATTACTAGTCCCGTTTTACAGATGAGGAAGCTGAGGCTGTGAGGAGGTGTCTGGCCAAAGGTCCTGTAGCCGTTGAGTGGTGGAGTCAGGGCTTGAATTGTGATCTCTCACGAGCATCGGATGCTTTTTTCCACTGTGCCCATGTATTCCTGTGTGCCATGGACTTGTTATCCTTGCCCATGAACAGGGTGACCCCCGTTGATCTCTGCCATTGGGGACAGGGGCAGTGAATGGTGCCGTGGGTCCTTTGGAACAGTGCCCACATCGCTGGCTAGAGGAGTGGGGAGCAGAAAGGAGATGATGTTTCCCCCAGTGACACAGGAGAGAGGGAAGGGGCAAGGATGCCTGTACCCTCTGATCTAAGGCAGGCTCTTGGTCAGGTGACCAAGGAGATCTAAAGCGAAGGGTGTTGTCAGGGGTTTGGGGCAAAGGAAAGAGGTTTGCCACGCTTCTCTGACCTAGCAGAGGAGGTCTTGTTCATCAGACAGCTGAGTCCGGCTGCCGCTGACCCCACCTTCTGAAGGTTCTCTGGGCCAGGGGGCCTTGGGGGATGGGAAGCAGGCCAGCCTGCTAAGCAGGGCTGCAGCAGGGCTAGGGGAATTGCTGGGGGTCTTGTGCAGCTGCCCTCTGATCGGGGTGATTCTTACCCAGGAGGTTTGTCTGGCAGGTCCCCCATTCTTCCCAAGTTCCATGCTGAAAGGATGCACTAGAGATGGGGGTGGGCTGGGCGGAGGGAGGGAGACTCTGCATCCGCGCTGGAGATGAGTGCTCCCAGGTGCACTCCCAAGTGGAGACCTTTCCTGGAGCCCGGGATTTCAAGAGCCACTCGGCACTCGGATCAGCCAGTCGCTGGCCGGATGCCTGACTGGGAGTCGTGAGACAGACCACAGGACCCAGGGAGAGCGTTCAGATGACCTCCCCGAGGAGACTGGGGAACTTTCTGAAACCTTCGGGCCATGAGGCAGAGAGAATAAGGACTCCCTATCATCTCCTGTGGTCCTCATTTCACCCCTTGGAAGAGCACAGGTAACCCCCCTGCTGTTTGGGCACAAGGCAGATGCCATCTGGAGGGAATGAATGAATGGAGAGAAGGAAGGAAGGGAGAGAGGAAAGAAGGGAGGGAGGGAGGAAGGAAGGAAGGAAGAAAAGAAGGAAGGAAGGAAGGAAGAAAAGAAGGAAGGAAAGAAGGAAGCAGTATTTATTGAGCTCCTGCTTTGTGGTCTGATCTTGATCTTGATCCTAGATCTGGTGCGTTACTTGAGAAGTCCCCAGGTCCACGTGGAACATAAGCAGTGGCCCAGAGAGCTCCCCTTTGGGGACCCAAATGCTCCCTCTTACCTTTGGGAATGCTGGGCCTCTGTGCTACAAAGTAGCAGGCCTGAGTCACCCTTTAGTCCCCTAATTATCGTAGGATCATCCTCCCTTCCCATTGGTCCAACTCTCCCATTTTACAGATGAACAAACTGAGGCCCAGAAAGGTTCCTAAAGTCACACACATAGTGAAAGTATCAGATCTGGGATTTAAGCTCAAGTCTAAGGACTCCAAATTCAGTGTTTTTTCCACTGAACTAGCCCACCTCTTGTCCTGTGCAGTAATACAGGTTTCATCTACTTTTTAGTCGACTGGACGCCTCCTCCAATTTTTCTCTATTATTGTGTCTGTCTTTGACAAAACCTGCCCTCCCTGGCTGCTAGGAATTCAGAAACCAGGAAAACAAGCTTATTATAAGAGTCTGTGAAAATGGAGCCAATAATGACCCACCTGAGGAGCTAAATACAAAGTGCCTGAGTTTTGTGACAGCTGTTTCAGAGGTGATGGATTTCTCCCCAGGGTGTGCTGGTAGATGTTTAACAACTGGCTCTCCAAAAAGTCACAACGCACTTTTAAGTTTAGGCTAAATTATTAACATTTTCTCTGTGGTTTTCTTAAAGCTAGACAATCAACAAAACAAGAAATTAAATCTGGATTTGCAGCTTTTGCTAAGATTTCCAAGGTGTAACTGCTCACAGTGAGCATTTAACAATCACCTCCCCTGAGCCTGTGCATTGGGCTGGCTCTAGTATACCCCCAGCTCCCCCACACTAGAAACCTTCAAGCGAAAGCAAGTTGACACCTCGTGGGGTCTGTTGTGGAGTGTACTTTAGTTCAGGGTGGATTGGACCAGAAAGTCTCTGAAGTCCCTCATACCCAGATCCTCTGTGTGATGCTGTGGGCATGCGGTCAGACTGAAGCCACAGCCTCACCACTCCACTCTTCTTGTCCAGCCTGGGCTTATCTACCTCCAGCCTCAGAGAACTCACCTCTTTTCTTTTCTTTTCTTTCGGAGGCACCCAAGGCCAAGTGACTTGCCCAAGGTCACACAGCTAGTAAGTGTCTGAGGCTGGATTAGAACTCAGGTCTTCCCCTGACTCCACGGCCTGTGTTCTCTCCACTGCGCTGCCCAAGCTCACTGCTTTTCCAAGGCATCCCGTTCCATTTCTGGAGTAACTGCTGGGAGGTTCCTATATATGTTGAACCTAAATCTTCCTCCCTGTAAATTCTACTCGCAAGTCACTTCACCTCTGTTTGCCTCAGTTTCCCCATCTGTAAAAGTGGGGGTGATAACACTACTGCCTCTCCTCCAGAGTTGTGAGGATCACAAGTTTCGGTGTTTGTGAAGCACCAGCACAGTGCCTGGCACATGGTGAGAGACATAGAAATGTCAGATGATGATAATGATGATGATGATGAATGGCTCTTTGGTGGCACAGTTTTCTACAGCGCTGCCCTTCAGGTGTTTGAAGGCCATGCTCATGTTCTCCACTGAGGCAAACATCACCCGTTGCTTCAGCCTTGGCTAAGGCCTTTTCCGTATGTGTTTGGGGTAGGGTAAGCTGGGGGAGTGGGGAGAGTTCTATGGTGTGAAATGGTTAAAATTGTCCAATGACTGATCTCTGGCTAAGCAGGGCTGTGACTGTATTCCATATTTGTGAGGCATTTTAACTTCTGTTTTCTCTTCTGATCTACTCAAGAACCTTGTGAGATAGAACTGAAATAATACTAATAATAGCAGTGTTCATACAGCCTTGGAAGTTTGCAAAGTGCTTTACAAATGTTCCATCATTTTTGCCTCACGACAGCCCCAAGAGGTAGAAAAGCTCTAGGGTCACTGCCTAGGGACCGTTAAAGATGGGTAAACTGAGGCTCTGATTTCATTGGCCAAAAACTAACAAGTAAGCAGAGGAAAGCAGCAAGGTGAAATAGAGCTAAGTCTGGACTCTGGAAGGCCTGGGTTCAAGCCCCACCTCTGCCTTATGCTAGCTGTTGTTTTCTGTTGTGTCTGACTCTCCATGACCCCCTGTTGGGGTTTTCCTGGCAAAGATACTGGCGTGGTTTGCCATTTCCTTCTCCAGCTCATTTGACAGATGAGGAAACTGAGGCAAACAGGGTTAAGTGACTTGCTCAGGGCCACATAGGCAAGTAACTTAACCTCCCAAAGCCAAGCCTCTGTATATAAGACTATAAGGGGACCTTGACTCCATATGAGGCCACAGAGGAGCAGCTGATCTGCATTGGCAGAAGAAAAATCACTTTGGGGGGATCCTTCCCAAAAAAAAATACTAAGACCCAAATGGTCATGTGGCTTGTTCAAGGTCACTCAGGTAGTAAGTGGGAGAGCCAGGGTTCAAACCCAGGTCTCTTACTACAAATCTGTCCCTCTCTTCCACTGTGCCATGCTGTCCCTGCCCTCAGAGTACACTTTTTTACAGGGAGGGGAAACTGAGGCACAAAACGATTACCTTGTCTGAGATCACAAAAAGAATTAGTGGCAGAACTAGATCCCAGGTCTCTTGAGTCTTGGCAAAGCAGCCTTTCCACCGGGCTGCACCATCACTAGCTCACCAATGACTGATGTGCTGAACTTCCCCACCCACTACCCTCCCTGGTTCCCAAAGTCTTCGACTTTAAGAGAGAAATTGGCCAAAGAGGGGGATGGGGAGTGGAGGGGGGAGCCTCTACCTTGTTGGCTGAGGTCATCGACAAGGATGATCTCCTTGAGGAAGGGTCTGGGGGTCGTGTCCAAGACACTGTGCACGGTTCTGAGCAGGGTAGACCAGGCCTCGTCGTGGAAGCAGATGACGACGCTGGCTGTGGGCAGATTGTCACCATAGTCCTGCTGCAGGCACCTGGGGGTCAGAGGATGGCGGGGAAGAAAAGCAGAACCAAGAATAAGCGGCCTGAGAACGACCTTCCAGGGAGAACGGGCACATTCTCCTGGCTCGAGATGGGGCTACCCTAGACTACAGGTTTGCCTTCTTTTGGTATAGTAGCCGCTCTTAACCTGGGATCCATGAACTTTAAAAAGATAGACAGACAGACAGACAGATAAATAGATAATGGTACTTCACTATAATCGGTTTGCTTGGTAATCTTGGGTATTTTATTTTATGCTTTTGAAAACATTATTCCAAGAGGAGTTCATAGGCTTCACCAGCCTGACAAAAAAGGGTCTGTGACACAAAAATGGTTAAGAGTTCCTGCTCTGGTATCACCTTCACAGGGTTGCTACAGGGAGTCAAATAAGATAATGCTTGTATAATCCTTGTTACTTCTCAGAAGGATGAGCTGGAATTCTTTGATTCGTTCCATAAACAAACAAACAAACAAACAAAAAGTTGGGGGCAGGGTGGGGGAAGGGGATGCATTTGAAAGGGACAAGCTGCTTTTCTCCCCAACCTGGGAGTAACTGAGAGGCCCTGAGACCTAATTTCAGGGATTCTAGGGTGTACTGTCCTGAGCCCATGGCATTGTTTTCTGCTTCTCTCTTCAGATCCCAAAGTGGGGGGGGGGGGTGTTAGATGGAATGGATTGGTGAAGTGTGTAATTGATCTTCCCTCTCCTTTCCTCTCCCACCTCCCCCACCCCACATTTATGGTGCAGGCATTTGACTACAAGATTTTCCTATTCCTTAAATTGTTTCTAATTTGTGATTTTTCATAGTACCTTAGAAGCTTTTTCCCCTTTGATATTAAATTATGACTGGTCATAATTTGTGAACAGCTGGGCTTTGGTGGAACTTGTGAATGGTTGGGATGGGTATCAAAAGGAAGAGAGGCCTGATCCCTTTGTCTAAAATACCTAGGGTTTCTTTCTTTTTAAATCCTAGCTTGGGGGGCTCAGAGCTATAAGAGAGAATTCTATGATTTTGATTATTAATAATTTTTTATAAACTCCCCCAAAGCAGAATTCAAACTGAATCTGAGGTTTGTTTTCTACCCTTGTAACTCTCCCCGGAAGGAGGGAGAGAATCTGAGAAGAGTGGTCACATCCCAAATTCCAAAGGTGGGAGCAAGAGGACAGAGGAGCACCTCTTCCTTACACTTCTCCTTTTAACCCTCCAAACCCTGCCGACAGCTCCACCAAGTGGTTACATGTGTATAGCACTTTGCCAACGTTCAAGTGTTATATGAATATCAGCAAGTATTCCTGTGCTTGGCTTTTCATTAGATTTTTCGTATGTGGGAGCATACTTTCAGCAAAGAGATGCTCATGTTCTCTTTGTCGAGGGAGAGGGAAACTGAGATTGGGATCATGAGATTGTATTGCAGAGCTGGGCCATCTAGGCTAACCCCTAATTTTATAGGAAACTGAGTCCTGGGAACGTCCTGTTTGAATTAAGCTTCCTAGCTTAGCTAATTGGTCTAATTTTGCCTAGGGAGTAAGCATCAGAGGCAAGATTCGAACCCGGGTCCTCTGGCTCCAAAGTTCGCACTCTTTCCACTATAAGATGGTGAGGATGTCAGTGGGGCTGGGGCACAGAGGGCTGCCTAGAGTGATCGTCGGCTTGCTGGAGCTTTGAAAACCGTTGGAAAGCCTTCTCCGAGACGGGGGCTTCTCCAGGCAGTGCCCAGCAGAGTGATCCCATTTTTGAGGGTGGTGAGTCTGGCCCCTTTCCATGAGACTAGAGAGTCATTAGCAGAGAGGAGCAGAAAGCCTCAGAAGTTGGTGTATCGGGGAGAAGCATCTGTACTCTGGGCGAACCTGGTTTGTGGTTTGTGTGCGATGATGAAGCTGTTTGACATGATCCTGGACCAGGGAGCTGAATATTACAAACAGAAGTCTGGCAGGCGGTCGTGTCTCGTGGCCTATTAGAACCTTTTAAGAGAAGCCAGAGGTTTATTATTTTGTGTCTGGCAAGGCGATGTGAATGGGAGGCAGGCCCAGTCGGGGCCGCGCTGCATGAAGCTTCTTTCTGCGGTTCCAGGTGGGCCTGGAAATAAGGTGTCGGTGTGTTTGATTTCTTTTTTGGGGGAGGGGGAGTGAGGGTGTCATCTGCAGAGCAGGGGCTTCTCCATCTCTGTAGGGACGCATACAACGATGTGGATGTGAGAAAGGTGGGGAACAAAAGCTCTGAGAATCCTGTCAAAGCCAGGACTCCTATGTCCCACTGGGCTCTTGAACATACAAGTCTCATGAGGTTTGGAGGCGACCTGAATATTTCCAGTGAGCAGTCAGATCAAGAATGCCATTGTGTATCTGATGAGAACAGAGGGGGTGGGAAGGATGGAGGGGATGGGGAGAAAAGTGTCTTTTATAACGCAAACGCCTTCAGGGAAGGGACCGCTCTGTTTTCATCCTTGGGTCCTCAGTACTTTGCACTAGCAGGCGCTTAATAAATGCAGGTTGACTTGAAATGAATTTGGTATGCCAGAAACAGCCATGGTTTTGGAGTCCCAAGGCCAAGTTGTTACCTACTACTTTTGTGACCTGGGGCAAGTCACTTTACCTCTGGACGTTGGCTGCACCATCTCTAAAATGAAGACACGGGTCCAGACGGCCTCTGAAGCCTCTTCTTGCTCCAACTCCGTGATCTTGTGAATTAAATGTTTAAGGTCTTCTACACTGGCCGTGTATCATACATGTAACTGGGGAGGTCATTAGATTCAGCCAAGGACACAGAGGAGTAGCCTCCTTTGTGTATTTGGAAGAAAAGGTTATGGGGAAAAGAGGCAAACCCACAGCGAAGAGCCATGTTTGGGCTTGGGATTTTTATGAGCCTCCCCCTGGACCAGTAAATTGACTGGGAAACTCTGGTGGTTCTGGGAAAAACTCTTTTATTCTATAACTGAGAAACCTGGTGCTCCATGAGCTGCAGTAACTGTTTGGCAGTGGACGGGGTGCCATGGATGACCCTCCAGGCCTTCCCAGGCCTTCAAAAGAACTAAGACAACCTAGAGCCCCAGACCAGGCACACAAGCTCTCTGTAGGTGGAAATTTCCTTATTAGAAAAAAAGAAGCAACTGATCACTCCTAGTGCTGACATTCCTGGCTGTGAGATCTGTTATCTTGTCCGTCTTCACCAACCTGGACAGGTGGCCATGAAGAGGGATCAAACCCCAACGTTCCTTGGTGCCCCTAGGCCATGTGATAGGGCTGCAAGTAGCAGATCTGCATTGTTAGAGGGAGTTTCCTCCCTGAGAATTCCCTTCTCCAGGGTCAGTCCGATATAATTATATTCAAATGGAGTATTTCTGTCACAGTCACTGTGGAAACAGAAGAGAGCCATTGTGGGACTGGGGCCCATTTTAGGGCAGCTCTGTGGTGCAGTGAATAGAGAGTATTGGGCTTAGAGACAGGAGAATCTGAGTTCAAATCCTGCCTCAGAAATTTTCTAGTTGTGTGACCCTGGGCAAGTCACTTAAACCTCACTCTGCCTCTGTTTCCTCAACTGCAAAATAGGGTAATGATAGAATCCATCTCATGGGATTGTTGTGAGGATAAAATGAAATAATGTATGTGAAGTGTTTTGCAAGTCTTAAAGCACAAAGATGAGCTATTATTAATAATTACTTTGGGTTTTTTTTCTTTTTTGTGGGGAGAGGGAGTTGCCATGGCCAAGGAATTCATCCCCATGTGTCCATACCGCTGGTGATGAGCCTCCCCATACTTAGTGAGGCCTGTCATCAGATAACAAACAAAGTCTGTAGGTAGGGCTGCCATCTTTGAAGTCATTTCAGCATAGAAAAACCTGCTATACCATGTGCCCAACCACCACAGAATGGAATAAACATTTATTAAACACCTACTTTGTGCCAGGTACTGTGCTGAGCACTTTGTAAATATTATCTTGTGCCCTGGGTCATCAGAGTAAGACTTGTGGGGGATAAATAATTATGTCCATATTTTTGGTCTGATCGTGAGAGTTCATTGGTAGAGGGGGCTCCTTGTGAGGAAACCTCCTTCACCTATGCTGATCAGCAGTATCTTAAAGAGTTGCCTGGGACATTGAAGGGTTAAGTGACTCGTCCAAGGTCACACAACCAGTACTGGTCAGGGACAGGGCTTGAACCCAGGTTTTCCTGACTCTAAGTCTGGCTTTCTAACTACTAAGCCGTGCTAACTCATCATTATCATCATTAAATATAAGATCAGACTAAGAACAAAAATAGTAATTATATTTATTGTTGACTAGTATAATTTGACTGTATAATTTGGCTTTGTCTTACTGTTCTAGGCTGTTGTTATTATAGATTTAATATGATATCAATTCAGCAGATAGGAACTGTGATCTTATAAAGCTAGCCCCTGGCACAGAGCTTTGCACATTGAACTGAATTAGATCTCTACCATGGCTTCGAAGCGTGACAACTGGCAACAGTCATAACAACAGCATATAGTTAGCTCTCTAGATGAAGATAAATTCTTGATAACCTAACAGACAGAAGACATCCAGCTGGTACAAAAGTCATGCTCAGCCCCCACATCCAATGGCCAGAGACACACACACGTGCTCCGCCATGTTCGCACTTACCCAGGCTCTGGCCCTTCCTGGGAAAAGCCCTGCTGTTTGTAGATGGGGAACCAGTTGGAAGGGGGGCTGGAGGAGGTTAGCCTTGTATCACCTGCAAAGTGGATAATCCATTCACAGAGGACTGAAAGTTGACCACACCCTGGATATAGAAGTCACTTGTCCTCCAGAGAATGCCCAGTGCTCACACGGGCTTGAGCTCAGCTGACCTCTCAGCAGCCCTGAGAGGACAAGTAGGTTCTATTATCTGCATTTGCCAGATAGATGATTTGCCCTGAAGCACACAGCAAGTAAGAATTGACTTTGATTAAGTAATGAACTCAATGAATTCACCTTTATTAATCACTGTTTCTATGCAATCCTTTTTTGCTCATTTGC